GACCGTAACTCACTATATATTTATCGGAAGGAGAAATATTTCAAACAAAGTTGTAAGGAAAAATGAAACATGCGTTTTATGTTCAGTACACACTCTCCTTCAGTCTAACGGATTTCGAGGTGCTGTAACTGTCTCTGGTCTAGTGGTCTGAGTACCTGGCTACAGATCCAGAGGTCCAGGTTCGATTCCTTGCGCTACCAGATTTTCTGATAAGTAGTGGGTCTGGAACGGAGTCCACTCAGCCTCGTGAGGATAATTGAGGAGCTATTTCAAGGATATAGCGGCTCCGGTCTAGAAAACAGAGATTAACGGCCGTGGGGATTCGTTGCGCTGACCACGCAACACCCTCTATCCGCTAAAGTGGCCCTAACTTCACCGACAAGATGCGGTCGCTCGATCGGTATAGTTCGCTTGCGGACTAAAACCATGGAGTTTGTTTTGTTTTGTAACTGAACATAATGTGCATAATGTAACGTGGATGGCCAAAGCGTTGCTAAGCAACGGATCGGTAAAGAAACCTCAAGAATAGAGAGACCGTTTCTATGGATCCGTGCCACGACCGTTGCTATGCAATGGTTCGGTAAACATGTTTCAACAATATAGGCTGTGTTTTCCGTGGGGTCCATGCAGAGGAGTTACCTTAAAAACGAACGGCGCTACGATTCAGTTCCGAGTTCTGAGTTCTCGATAGAAGATAGCCACGGGAATTTCGTCTACCTGTGAAGGCTTAAAATGTGATTTGAACGCCTCATTCATGTGTAATACTTGGACTGTGTGATTCAATGTGACTGTTATATTTCCTGCGTTTTAGTTGTACCAGGAGAGGACCAGTTTCTGTATAAATCAGCGATATTATAAATCAAGAGATATTGTAACCACGTTGCTAATAAAACCAATATTCCGAGCTAGAACCCGTCATTTTCGTCACGCGTACCACCCTACACGTGACAATGTGTTTGCTGTTCGACCATAGAGAGTTGTCTTCAGAACGTGCTCACGGATCACCAAACAAGCAACAGTGGTCATCCAAGCACACCAAAAAAATTGTCGAACTGGCAACAATGGTCTGTCAAAAAACTGTCGAACCAGCAACAATGGTCTGTCGAATTTACGCGAAGATCCGGAAGTCTCTTAGTAAAATTATGCCTAAATTTGTAGGTTTGCATTTGTATAACTGACTTCTGTGTGATTTCATTCATTCTCGGCCGTGTCAGACATGGTTCGGTCCGCCGGACTCGTTTCCAGTTGGGAACCGAAGCACGCAGCAGTCGGGGAAGGACAGGAGTCTCGCGACTGGCTGAAGGCCAGACTTTCTCGCGTCGCCAGATCTCCGTCGCTTCTGTGAAAACTAACGCAATTTCCCCAGACACCCTGACATTTTCATTAGGTGTACTTTTTTTTTCTTTTAAAGTGCAAAGGTGTATCGCTAATTATGCTTTACCTCGGGTTCGCCGAATAGCTTGGTCGTTGCAGTAAATGCCATCGAATTAAAACATGTTAAACGTGGCTTCTGTACTGCTGTCTCGTCTGTCCATACAACGAAGTGGTAACCGTGCTTCGAGCACTGGTTGCCTTGTCTTCGGGGATTGTACAGGTTCTTCTTATACAGTAGTCGGGATAGCTCAGTCGGTATAGCGACTGGCTACGGGTCGGAGTTTGAGTCCCGGTGGGGGCAAGAATTTTCTCTTCGCCACGTCGTCCAGACCGGTTCTGGGGCCCACCCAGCCTCCTATCCAATGGGTACCACGGGGATAAAGCGGCCGGAGCGTGAATCCGACCACTCACTTCCAGCTAGTGCCGAGGTCAAGAAAATGTGGGTCCATAAATCCAGTCCCCATACGCCTTCATGGCGTAGTGCTTAATTAGTTAAGCACAGGAACAACTCTATTACACGTGCTTGTTCTTTACCAATGAGAAGCATAGCTTTAATATTCAAGGACACTGCCATTTTGCTATGAAAACACGACTGATCAAGTGAAACAAACAGAAAGGACGATCTTAGTTGTAGCCCTTATACAGGGTGATTCATGTAATGCCTTAAGGCTTGGCTCTTGCTGGTTACACTGTTCCATTCTGATATAGATATCATATGTTCATCTGAAGTGTCGGAAAACTCATACCAGGAAACACGTAGTCGAACCTTGGAAGACAGTGCGATGTTTAGAAATTATAATAATAGAAGCGAATGTACCGCAAGTCAGTAACAAAACTTTCATATTCAAGGACACTACCATAACATGATAAAGAATTGAGAATTTTGTTTATCTGTGGTTCATACAGTGGATGTGGTACAGATGGAAGTGATCTTGCCATGTTTGAAGGTAAAATTCTGAAATTCCGAAGGAGGGACTGAGGAAAACCACTTTAAACCTCAGGATAATCGTCCCGACCACGATTTGAAGTACATGCCGGAAGCGACATTGCTTGAGCGCTCCGTCCATTCTGTGTAACCAGCACGCATACAACCAGTGTCATGCAGAATATACTGTGGGAGCTGGGCTAGCTCCGTCACTGGATTGACTAGAGACGACCCGGGCCATCGACTCCCTGGCAGGAGCAAGATCAGATATGGGACGTACGTACCCAGGGTTAAAGCGGTCGGGGTGTGAACCTGACCACTCATCTCCCATCAATTGCCGATGTTAGGAACGCGTGGAGATATACCTCCATTCTCCCATGTGTTTCTGGTACCGGATGAGGTGAAAAGTTCGTGTGAGGAGCTGTTTGTGAAGTGCTGGTGGGGGAACTTGCAGATAAGAGATTATCGTAGAACCCTTAGGCTGGGGCCACACGAGCGCACAAAATGCGTCCGTTGTAACGAACGTCGTGATGTCCGATGTAGAAATAAAGCGAATGCTACGCTTTCTTCTGGCTCCATTGCCAACAGAAAGCTACGCACCGCATTCTGCAACTGTGTGGTGTCCTCAGCAACGTCCGTCATAAAGTTCGTTCGTTGCAACGGACGTACTTTGTGCGCTCGTGTGGTCCCAGCCTAAGTGGGAGAAACATCTGTACGCCATTGCTTGCGTCTCCATAGCCGGGAAAAAAAAAAAAAAAAAAACAGGACGAATTCCAGAGGCCTCCTCTCCCCGTTAGCTCCATAAAGAAATGGGCAAGGCGACAGCATGTCGCCAGCGTGCGTAGTGTCACGTTTATAACGAGAAGTGACATAACAAGACAGGCTCTGTAACGAGGTGATATATTGAAATAACATTTAAATTATTTACATGAAATTATGAGGGTTTAGCTTCTGTAAATGGAGACAAGAGGGAACTAATACTGGAGTCCAACATTCGTTACAGGGCCTTAAGAATCAAGGCGTGAATAAGGTTTAACTTCTTTGTACTTCTTAGGGCTTTGAGGATGCTTCGATTTATTTATCATTAGTATCGAGCAGACTCTTTGAGAAGCTAATAGTTGATCAGATAGTCATGAAATTGCCCACTTTTCATGCGAAGTTAAAGCACAATGCAGCGTTCGCAAAGCAATTACACTTTGAGGTCGTTTATTATTCCGAAACAATACAGGTTAAAGGTAAAAGGTGAAGATGTCCCTGTGCTTAATTAATTAAGCACCGGGCCATGAAAACGTGCGGGAAAGTGGAGATAAGCTCCATCATTCTGGATCTCGGCNAGTCAGTCAGTCAATCAGTCAGTCAGTCAGTCAGTCGAGGGAGCCGCCCCCCCCCCCGGAAAGAGCCCTTTGGTTAGGAGGCTGATTGGGCCCCAGTTCCGCTCCAGATAATAATAATATCAGTACTTGAAGAATAACCAAGATACACTGAAACAAAAGACTGCTGGCTTGTTTGGAACTTACTGCAAAACTTATGTTCATGCAACATGTTTTTATTTTTGATGTAATGTTGTATCTTGTTGCACTGTATTCTTGCCAGGTATTCATTTCCATCTTCCATTCAACTTATACTAGAAGTTCTACAGGGGAGAGTCAGTAAACAGGTTAAATGGATGTAAAGCGTAACGTAAAACATGTCATATTTGTACCTGGAAAGAACATTTATTTCTCAAAATATCCTCCACCAACACTGATGCACTTGTCCCATTGCTTTACCACTTTGTAGAAACCTGCAGCATAGAAGTCTTTTGACTGTTCTCTTAGCCACTTTCCCACATCTGTTTCAACCTCGTTGTCATCAGCGAAAAGTTTGCCACCTAGTTGTGGCCTAGTTTAAGTGACAAACGTTCCCCTTCTTAAACAGGAAACATTTCTTTATGAATATCTTTGCATAGAGTATTTTTGTCCACAAAAAACGTGGAATGCTGGAACATGGAACGTCCACAGAACGCTGCTCTTGGGTAGTACACCCCTCAAGCACGGTTGCCATTTTGACTACTGAAACCAGCCTCTGAACATGTGCATGCACATCTGCAACCAAGACAGCCATGAAGTTGGACTGTGCTGCTACCTAGTGATAGACATAGAAAAACCTAGTATATTTATGAGAGCTGTTTTACTTCCATTTGTGACCTATTTACTGACTTTTCTTCATAAAATTCAGAATGTAATCTTTACTTTTTAAAAATCTTAGACGGATACCTAGAAAAAGAAAAGTACTTGACAGTGTGTCGTAGTGGCAACCAGGTAAAAGGTAAAGCTATCCTTGTAACATGCCATGGAGGTCCACAAGGTTGTGAGATGTCGAGGCTCCTACATTTTCTAGACACAGATGGCGGTGGGCTTGTCAGCTGTACACACTGGCCTCTCCTTTACCTCCCAGGAAGATTCTTGGTACTCATGTCTGTTAGTGGCTGAGTCGACCCCAGAGCCATGGTCGAGATTAAAGGAGGGATTAAAGTTGTGTAATTAAGGGGTTATATGCATAGAAGTTTACCGCAAAATGCTGATAAAGATGTCTGAAAAGAGTGTGATTTTTTTCCTTTTTCCACCCCACATTTTCTTTGTCTCTGCCTTCCATTACATTTGGCAGGCTTGTGAAGTTATACCGATGTAGTTTTTAACTGAAAATCCTGTTACTCTTACAGCTGCAGTTGCACAATGGAAGCATCGGTAACGAAGACCTCTCTGCAGCCTCAGTTCTTGCCAGACTTGGTGTGACAGTTGATGCTCATGGAGGTTTGGTGAGGGAGAGGCCAGCATCTCTTCTCAGTGGCAGAATTGGCATCAACAACAAAGAGAATGTCATGGATGAGCCCAAAGAAGAGGACGAAAAGAAGACAGCAGATGTATGTTGTGTTCGAATATTTTCATTGTCAATAGCACTGACATGTCTGATGTTGTAAGATTGTGTGGTCAGATATAATCAGCAGTATGGGATTTAAGATTTCATCTTTAATATTTTAAGTTATTTGAACTTACACATTTGTGTGATACCAGAGGCTCCACCTTGGGTGCTCGTAATGAGATCACAATATCCAGTATTTAAGGAAAAAATAATTTAAAGAATCTCATGTAAATAATCATTCATTAATTATCCTCATGAAGACGGTGATAGCTGAGAGCAGAGAGACTGTAATCAGCAGATCCGCTTGCCAGCAAAATTGGCACTGTTTGCAGGCAGCACATGTAGTGCTCAGGGCAGCGCAGTCGGTATAGCAACTAGCTACTGACTGGATGACTGAGGGGTCGGAGTTTGAGTCCCGGTGGTGTCAAGAATTTTCATTTCTCCTATTCTCCATGTTGTCCATCGGGGACACGGTAGCATGGTTGGTTGAGGCACTATGCTACAAGCCGGACAGTCACAGGCTCAAGTCCCGATGAGGTCATTGCATTTTTTTCAGTTGACCTAATCCTTCTAACTGCACTATGGGCCTGGAGTCGAGTCAGCCTCTAACATAAATGAGTAAATTGCTGGTAAAGGGCGGCCAGTGCGTAGGGCTGATAACCTTGCCGTCATCTATGAGCCGATTGGCTAGTGAACCGTGCAACGGTTCTTCTCTGCGGCTCACTAGAAAATGTGGGAACCTCAATATCTCCCAACCCCATGGGCCTCCACGGCCTGTTACAGGGATACCTTTACTATACTTACATGTCCAGACTGGCTCTGGAGCCCACCCAACCTTCTATCCAATGGATACCGGGGGCTCTTTCCGTGGGGCGTGAAGCTGACCACTCACCTCCAAGTAGTGCCGAGGTCAAGAAAATGTGGGAACCTCAATACCTCACTCCCCTATACGCTTTCATGGTGTAGTGCTTAGTTAAGTACAGGGACAACTTTACCTTATCTTACCTTTTACATGCAGTACTCTGGCAGCACACTGTGTTACCATAATCCCTCAGACAGCATCCACTGTTGGCCTGTGACCATGTCAACAGTTGGTACTGTGACAAAATCAAATTCGCACCCTCCCATATTTCCTATATCTAAGGAAGTAGAGGGAAATTTATGTTCATTTTAAACGTTCATACTGTCACGTGATAGAGTGACTGTAGAAGAGGTTTGGGTTGATAATCGGATTTGGTGGACATTCTTACAGCTTGTGACTACACTTTACATATCTCAGTCATCGTCTTTGCTGCATTGCTTGGTCATGGCTTCCAACAATGGATGTTCCTCTGCTTCTGGGTTCATGTCCTCGCATGATGACTGCCATCTCACACCAACCTCCTGTTTTTCTAACTACCGTCTCAGGACACTCTTGTAATGGCAGCCGACCCTCGTTATATAGCCTTGGCACGGACCGCACGGAAAACATCTGTTCAATTATCGCATATTCTATTGTTGCCGGCGAAACAACATGTCTACAGAGCTCTTCCCTAGCAATTGTTGTTGTACTGTCGCCTGTTTGGATGGCTATTACTTGGGGCTGGTTCTACATTTAACAGTATTCTAAGTTTATTTGCTGTTACATAACATCTCTTTAGTAGCCTAGGGCATATCCTGTGTTGTCAAGAAAAAATTAAGCCTAGGAGCTGTGCCCCTCTCTGATCTGTGGCAGAATGCTGTACTCCTGTTGGTAGAAACACAGTGCCATCCTGTGTTGGGAAGGGTTGGCCCCTACTAGACTCAGCCACCAAAGGACAGGCAGGGATCTGCATGAGTGTAAAGATGCACTGTTTGTTTCGCTTAACCTTAATCTATGTTTCTGATTGTCATAGTGGAAAAGCTTTATGTGTCATTGAACTACTATCCAATTGTCATTAAATTCAGTTTGACACTTCTTCATGGGCTTCTTTTCGTGTATGATAGGTGTTTAGTGCTGTCGTAATATGGCCCTCAAAATTATCGCTGCCTCTGCCTGTAAGAGCATGTACACAGGGCTTCCTTTATTTATTTTAGACTTTACAGTGGTTCAGTGTGGATGCCAATTCTGCTTTTTGGTCTTTGCCCTCTGTGGACATAGGACATGTTACCTATGTTTTGAAAGTACCTGTTGCCTCCAGGTTCCCAGATTAAGTAAAGCCTGGCTTGGCCTTCTCCTCTCTAACTCAGACATTTATTGAACTCTTTCCTTTCCATGTGGGGAGAGAAAGAAGATGAAAAGGAAGAAGGAAGGAAGAATAGGAAAGAGAAAATAATCTTCTACTACCTTTTGCTTGAATCATGGGTTTGCAGAAATATTTTTCCCACCTCTTCTCTGGATCAGTTGGTCTCAAAATTTTTTTTTATTGTTTCTTTTCATTAACTGCAGAGTGAAAAGTAAAGGTATCCTTGTAACAGACCGTGGAGGCCCATAGGGTTGTGAGATATTGAGGCTCCCACATTTTCTAGACAGTTGGCTCACAGATGGCGGTGAGGTTGTCAGCCTTACTCCTAGGAAGATTCCTGGCTCTCATTCCTGTTAGAGCCTGGGCCAACCCCAGGGCCATAGTGCAGCTGGAAGTATATTATGGAACAGTTTTCATCTCCTGTTCTCACGAACCACATGATTGTTTCCTGATGGTTAGTGTCCATCTCCCCTATTCACCCAATCATGGTTTTACCTCTGACATGCTGCCTAAGTAAAAGCTGCAGAAACTCCTCCCAAAGTGATTATCCCAGAAGATGACAACTTTAATTTTCGATGAAACATCAGATATGCATCAACATTCTTTGTGACCTGGTCCTGAAAGCTGAAGCCAAACAATAAGCCACACAGAGTAACAAATGTTCAGACAAGTGGAGGAAACATAAATACACAGCTGAATTCTAGGAAGATGCAATGGGCCCTGATCTCCTAGCCCAAATACAATGGAGCGGACTGGGGAGGAAAGGCGTGACATCTATCAAGAGTCATACACAAGTAGAAGTATCATACATGGAAAAGTGAGCTAAGGCTTCTGCAAAGACAAAGCTGTCATTGAACTTTCTACAACAGAAGCAACTTCTCTGTGGATTCTGAAAAACCTTTTTCTGCTGAATAAAGTATAGAAAACTAGAAATTCATTGAAGTACCTTTTATACCACACAAACTACATACATAAATTAGAGAGTCATCAAACTGCTTTTTATCAAAAATGGTAAGGTAAAGGTAAAGTTGTCCCTGTGCTTAATTACTTAAGTACCAAGCTATGAAGATGTATGGGGGAATGGAGGTGTAGTTCCACCATTCATGCCCACCTTGTTAGATGGAAGTGAGTGGTCAGTTTCATGCCTCTGCACTTTACCCTGGGGAAAGAGCGCCTAGGTACCCATTGTATAGGAGGGTGGGTGGGCCCAGAGCCGGTCTGAATGCTGTAGAGTAGAGAAAAATCTCTTGCCTCTGCCAGGAGTTGAACCCTGGCCATCCAGCCCATAGCTCATCGCAATGCTGAATTCTGTTAAATGTTGGCGGTGCCTGACCACTGTGGTGCTTGATGATGTACTGCCCCTGGAGGCATCGTTATATGATTTTATTATGGAGAGCCTGCACTGCGACAACAAGAACTTGTACTGAGGGACAGGCTGTCTGTACAAATGTTGTTTTACTCAGATGCAGGGAAAGTTGAGGTGTAGCTGGGGGAAACTATGAAATATTTGAAACATGCAGCAGTTATTGATTGTTTTTTACTTGTTTACTTCCATTTCTGGTTTGCATGTAATAAACTCAAAATCAGGTTTCTGGAAAATGGTTGGTCTGGTACTGAGATGTGGTAGTGAGTGTGTACAACAGAATGAACAAATATTTGTCTGTTTAAAGAAAAGTAGGTGATTCTAGGAAATTATAATGTGCTGAATTTCAGTCTGATCTTGATAATTTTGTATCACTCACCCTTTTTTAGGGAAACGTTCAAAATTTTACAACAAGCTCTAAAATACCCTGTTGGATATGATGTGGTGGTCTTTTGACCAGTTGGTGAACAAAACGACAATCTTCTGATGAGTCGCTGAGTGACATTTGGTACTTTATTAACCAACAACTGCACTTTTGTCACTCTCCAGCTGAATTTCTGTACAACATTATACATTTTTATATTTTTCAAAGAAATTACAAATATAATTTTCCAAAGAAAATGATTGGTGATCGAACACTTTGGTGATATTTTCATAATTTTCAGGTAGCAATACATTGACACTAATGAGATCAATGTTGTATGGTGTAATGAATACAGCAGTCCATTCCAGAAGTAATAGAAATATGAGTGTTGTTCAGATGAAACCTGTCTGTGATGCTTCTAGCAAATGCGCATCAGTAGTGGACTATGAGCAGTGGAACAGAATAGCTGCAATAGAGCAAATGGGAACAGTGTGACATGGTTAAATACTGGCTTTACAGGTGCAGAACTTATTCAAATGGGGCTAACAAACTGGCATCCAGTTCTGTATCTGAACAGGTTTCATTTGAACAACCATCATATGTATAGTTACAAGTAAAATGTGGTATTTCAATAGGTCTGTAGGACAAAGAATGATGAGGACAGCAATTCTTCAGAGGAGGATGGAGGCAGTGGAGGAGCAGTTGGAGACTCCAAGATGACAAGCAGTGGAACACAGACCCAACAAGTAGCAGAGTCCACGGAGCCCCCAAACCTTTCTGCTCTGTACCATGGGACATGGCCTGTTGAGAGGACGCTGTGGCACAGCGGTCCAAGCAGCATCGGTGGAACCAGCGGCAGCAAGAGTGTCACACAGGTAGCCTGCTTTGTCACCTTCAATTGTCTATGGAGTGTTCTTGTAAATGCATATGAGTTCTTTTAGAGATTAAATGTGTTGCATCTCATTTTGTTGGATCTGCCACTTTCCGTCAAGGAAGGGACTATACAGTTTGCTGTTATGACAGTTGGGAAAGAATGTAAAATAAAAACTTCACTAATTAATGAACTCCATTATTTCTCCTCCTCCTCCTCCTCCTCCCTTTGCTCCCACTTGGAGCATAGGGCATCCGTGAAATGCTTCGTTTCACTTCAGTTTCTTAATGCAAGACAGTCGGAGTCCTAACTCCTTGGATGAGGGATCAGCCTGTAACAAGGCTGCTACCTAACACAGAGTAAACACACATATCCATGCCTTGATTGGGATTTGAACCCATGATCCAGGTGCTTCAGTGGGCAAAGACATGCTCCATGGATAAGAGAAGCTAATAATGACAGTCAGGAAATCTCTAGAAGTTTATAGAACACAGACGTTCCTTACCATTCTGAGAAGAGCTGACTACTGGTCGCATTCCTGAGCCGGATGCATTCACTCCATACACTTGCATCATATTTTTAAGGCCCATTTAAAATGTTATCCCCCCATTTCTTAGTACATCCTTCAGGTGGTCTCTTGCTTTGATGTGTTCCTACCAAAATTTTGTTTGCATTTTCTTCTTTCCCATAGTTACTACATGCCCTTCTCATACTCCTTGTTTTTTTTTTAATTCTGATAATATTTGGGAGGTAGCACAGATGAAGAACTGCATAATGAGGAGCTTCATAACTTGTACTCTTCTCCAAGTATAATTAGAATTATCAAGTCAAGGATGATGCGGTGGGCAGTGCATGTAGCACGAATGGGGGAGACGAGGAGTGTGTATAGGATATTGGTGGGAAAGCCAAAAGGAAAGAGACCACTGGGAAGACCAAGGCGTAGGTGGGTGGACAATATTAAAATGGATCTTAGAGAGATAGGATGGGATGGTATGGATTGGATAGATCTGGCTCAGGCTAGGGACCAGTGGAGGGCTCTTGTGAACATGGTAATGAACCTTCGGGTTCCATAAAATGCTGGGAAATTCTTGAGTAGCTGCAGAATTGGCGGCTCCTCCAGAAGGGCTCAGCTCCATGAGTGAGTAAGTAAGTAAGTAAGTAAGTAAGTAAGTAATTAAGCACAGATGAAGCTGTTTATCATGGAGCTCCTGTTACTGTCTCCCATCAAATGTACTCCTGAGCACTCGCTTCTCAGTCACACTCAGTGTATTTCGAAAAATGTGTTAGACATGCTTGTTGATTTGTTGTAATCAATTTCCCCAGCCATTCCTGCCTTTTAATATTGGTACCAGATCAGAGATTTTATGTACAGTAAACCCTCACTAATCTGGATTAACTGCGGGGGAGAGGTCATCTGGAATAAGTGATAATCCAGATTAATGAAGCAAAGGGTGGCCCTAAGAGGCAAAAAAGGAAAAAGAACGTAGAAAACAAATAATTGAAAATTTGGTAATATAGGTAGTGCTGAAGAAAGTAAATAAGAAAAAAAAAATGTCACTGTAGAGCTTTTATTTGAAGAGTATAAAAAGACAATACATTTATTCATCGACAGAAGACTCAGAAGTTGTACATGTTTTTTAACATAATAATGCAGCTCTGAAGAAACTGTCTCACGTTTTGTCTGAACAGACAAGTGACTCATCTGCCTTCCTAATTGCCATGTGTCTTTTAAAATATGTACTTGACTGTGAACACCATTTTTCATTTTTTCATATTCTGATCTACATTACCTGACATTTGAATTAACTATAACTGGATTAGCGAAGGTTTACTGTGCAGACCAGATTACTTTTGCAAATTATATAAAATGTTTGAAAGTATAATGAGATGGAGTTTCTATGGTAAGTCTTGAGACACACATGTTCATTAAAATTGTGTCCTATAGTGTGAAAAGTGTATAAACTGCATCCCTTCAGTGAACAGAGGTGAAAAGACCCTGTATTAATATTAGTTCATTGAAAGGTACTGTTTTCTGTATGACAACAGGATGTGTCCAGTGTGATGAGTTTCACGTCAAGTATGGGCTTGCTGCCCGATGAGGTTGCAGCAACCCGCCGAACCTACAGCCAGCAACAGCTTGGAGCCAAAGTGGAGATGGTGTACAGCCTTTTGTCAATGCTTGGGACCCACGATCGTGAGGACATGAGCAGGACATTGTTGGCCATGAGTAGTTCACCAGACAGCTGTGTGGCCATGAGACAGTCTGGTAGGCATCAGCTTGCACAGGATAGAATGAGATGTCACATTCATGAGACCGTCACAACTTCCAGAGCAAAACTACTTAGTTGTACTGTTTTATGAACAACTGCATAGAGCTGAGTCCATCTGGGAAACTAATGAACAGGTGGTCAGTAAATTCGCCATCCCTTATGGAATATGATGAATGAGTTTTGTGTAAGATTTGAGGCTTTCACGGCGGTGACTATGAAGAAAGCAGTCTTCTGGGATTTGGCACCGTGTATATGTGGTGTTAACCGACGTTTCAGAGGAACGTATCGCCCCCATCTTCAGGGTAGAAGAAAAAGTATAAGAAATCTGCAAGCGACAACACCGTGANAAACGTCGGTTAACACCACATATACATGGTGCCAAATCCCAGAAGACTGCTTTCTTCATTGAGTTTTGTGTTCAGAAGAGCGCACCACCAGTCCCTAGATTGAGCCATGTGAAGCAAGGCTTTCCTTAACATCCCCTTAATTGAAGATACATGGATCTTCCTTTTCAAGATTATGATGATGTAGGCTGTGATGCCATGTGTGCAGGAGGATACCTCCATGTTCATAGTGAAAGAAAATTATGTAAAGTAGTTTCCGTTAGAGGATCTCAAATCTCTTTCATTTTATTATACACAAAATGTGTTGTATTATCTAAAGACTATCATGTTTGTTGTTTGAAAACATAAATGTTAAAATATACAGAACTATGATTTTTTCCCTGTTTTTTTTATGTGGGCTTAAATGCCACATTAAGGGATGGACAGAAATTGAGGATATTTGAGAGAGAGCAGGATGCTGAGGAAAATTTTTGGAGCTGAGAGGGATGACATAACAGGAAGCTTAAGAAAACTGTGTAATTAAGAACTCTGTAATTTGTAGATTCTGAAGGTTGTGACAAAGATGTATAATACTCAGAATTACTGGGTTTTTGGACTTTAATCCATTGTCCATTATTCTAAAGAGTAGAAAACATGATGTTTTGGAAACTGGATCTGTTTCTGTCCACAGGTGAGGGGGGAAGATATCTACTCAGTTGGGTCGCTTAGAAAGAGCTAACCTGATTGCGGTGTTTTTAGTCTCTAGAATACTGGATGATAAAAAGGTCTGAAAACCTGGAAAGACCTAACCACAATCAGGTTAGCTCTTTCTAAGGGACCCAACTGAGCAGTGTATTCTCCCCTCACCTGAAGATGGAAACAGATCCAGTTTCTGAAACATCGTATTTTCTAGTCTCTAGAATACCAGATGATGGAGAAAGTTAAAAAACCCAGTAATTCTGAGTCGGTAATTTGTATTCCTTGCCAGATATTATTTAGAAGGCTGAGGTGGGCAGGGCACTTAGTGTGTACTGGAGACAAGAGAAGTACTTAGTAAGTTCTGGTATGAATGCCTGAAGGATAGAGACCATTAGGAAGACATGGGCATAGATGGAAGATTAATATTATAATGGATCTTAGAGAAGTTGGATGGACGTGTGTGTTATGGATTTGTTTAGCTTGGGAAAGGAACCAGTGGCGAACTATTTGTGAACATGGTAGTGAACCATCAGATTCCATGCAATGTTGTGAATTTCTTGATTAGCTGAGCATCTCGTAGCTTCTCATGAAGGACTCATTTTCATGGAGTTAGTTGTATTACATTGTGAGAATGCAGCATGTTGAACTATTTGAAATTTGCACAGGTTCTAAGTGGTCATTTGTGCAATGTTATTTGGTGTTTGCCACATGTGTATTCTGTCCATAAATGTCAATGCATCCAGACATGTTATTTCTCCAATACAGTAAATCCTCGATAATCTGGATTAACCGGAGAGAGAGGTCATCCGGATTAAGTGATGATATGGATTAATGAAGAAAAACATAGCCCTAAAAGACCCCCCCCAAAAAAAAACAAATAAATGGAGAATTTAATAATATAGGTAGTTCTGAAGAAAATAAATAAATAAAAAATATCACTGTGGCAATTTCTTCCTCTGTTAGAAGTTGAAATTCAGGGTCTTCTACATCCAGCTCAAGCCAGTCTTGGATATTTTCTTGCTTGGTTTCAGTCTCTCTAGCTGCCCTCAACACAGTCTGAAAGTCCTCTTGTTCTGATTCCTCTTGCTCCTAATTCCATGTGTCTTTTAAAGTATGTACTCTACCGAGGCCAACTCAGCCTCTAACAGAAATGAGCAGCAGGAATCTTCCTTAGGGTAAAGAGCTGCCAATGTGTAAAGGCTGACAGCCTCATCACCACCTGTGAACTAACTGTCTACAAAATGTGGGAGCTTCAATGTCTCACAACCCTATCGGCCTCCATGGCCTGTGAACAGGGATAGCTTTACTTAACCTCATCGCCATCTATGAGTCGACTGTCTAGAAAATGTGGGAGCCTCAATGTCTCACAACCCTATGGGCCTCCACAGCCTGTTACTGGGATAGCTTTACTTAACCTCACCACCATCTATGAGCCGATTGTCTAGGAAATGTGGGAGCCTCAACTTCTCACAACCTTATGGACCTCCACAGCCTGTTACAGGCATAGCTTTACTTAACCTCACCACCATCTGTGAGCTGATTGTCTAGAAAATATGGGAGTCTCAACTTCTCACAAACCCTATTGGCCTGCATGTCCTGTGAACAAGGTTTGCTTTACTTAACCTCACTGCCATCTGTGAGCTGATTGTCTAGAAAATGTGGGAGCCTCAACTTCTGACGACCTTATCAGCCTGCACAGCCTGCAAACAAGGATAGCTTCACCTTTCTGCTGTATGCTTTATTGATGAGATGGCACTGAGTTCAAGTTTACGCCAGGAAAGCCTGTAATGCAGAAATTGTTAAGCTTGAAGCATGCACAGAAGTGTACATAGGTGTTCATGTAAAGCATCCATTATTTTTGTCTGATTTTTAAACTAAATTGAAATATACTGCAAAATTTTAATAAAACTCTGAAATACCAGATATACTGAATGTCTGTTTTGCAGTTTCAGGATGTGTCTTATATAAAATAAGTTGTCCCTGTGCTTAACTAATTAAGCACTAAGCCATAAAGTCATATGGGGGAGTGGGTGTATAGATCCACAAGTTTTGTCTTGTACATGGACAAATAGATTGATGAGGTGATTTTAAAAGGGCACTGCATATGGTTTGACTGTGCGTTTAAAAAAGTAATACAGCTACTTTCATGACTGTAACCTAATTTAAGTAGGTGAACACACCTGTCTGGCTATATATGTACATTAATTATACTGTAATGTTTTCTGTATGAAGTGTGGAATGTTCTGAGGTTTGTTCCGTGTATGACAGGTTGTCTGCCCCTGCTGGTGCAGCTTCTTCATTCTCCAGACTCTGACACAGACACAAGGCAACGTGCATCCCAAGTTCTACATAACATGGTTCACTCACACCCTGACGACAAGCGAGGACGTCGCGAGGCCAGGGTTCTGCGACTGCTGGAGCAGGTGCGGGAATATTGTGACTCACTGCGTGAGAGGATCAATGCTGCTACCCCGGCTGTAGATGGGCAGGATCGTCAGCAACATGTTCTTCAAGGTGAGACAATCAGACAGGCTGGATAAGGATGGAAATGTTTCAGCTGTACATTGTAAATACCATACATGTTGAGGGGCCAGGTAAGGTCACTGAAGTGGTAACATTTCAGATTTTTATTTGAGAGGTGCTCACTTTAAATCCTAGCTGGGGCACTGATTATGTTAACTAAGGTTTATTGCAATGTTTCTCAGTTGCTCCAAGCAAATGCCAGGATAGTACCTTAAATTAGGCCACAACCTCTCCTTCCACATCGTTTCCAATTTCATTATGTGTGGTCGTCTAATCATTTGACTCTCTGTAGTATGAGTTACTGACAGCGACAGTAAATAAACTGGAAATGAACAAATAGAGTTATCGGAAGTGTTTGCGTCATGGTTGGGACACACAGTAGGCTAGTTGGTTGAGGCAGTATGGGACAAGCCACAAGATCAGGTGTTCGATTCCTGATGAGGCCATTGAATTTCTTCAACTGACCTAATCCTTCCAGCTACAATATAGCCCCGGGATCGACTCAGTCTATAACAGAAATGAGTACCAGGTGGATTCCTGGGGGGTAAAGGGTGGTGGGTGATTAAGGCCGACAACTGTGCTGCCATCTGTGAGTTGATTGTCTAGAAGATATGGGAGCCTCGATGTCTCACAACTCTATGGGCCTTTATGGTCTGTTACAGGGACAGCTTTACTTTTTTTTTTTCGCCTTTCTGAGTCATGTTTTCATCCGTTTCTGCCTTCTCATATATGTAGTATGAGGAAGGACTGTGGTTGTGGAAAAAATCAAACCAGTCTTGAGATTCTGATGGGTTTGCATGTTCACAGTAATCCTGAAGAGGAAAATCTGGTTTTTGGAATGCCTTCTGTCTGAATGAATGTGTGCCTTGCTGGTTCTTGATGGTTGGATGGATTTCATTAATGTTCAGTTTTTAGGAGTTATCCTTCACAGGTCTTTCACCAGTGATTAGGAACACTTCAGCTCCAAAAATATGGGCTATTCACAGGGGCCTTCAAAAACAAAATTGCCATTTCCTTAAAAATGGCTATAAATGATTTTGATTAAATTTTAATAATTTACAGAGACCATTTCCCTAAATAAAACTCCAAAGGCAGAATCTTCAAAAAAGAAGTGGTATGCTCTCTAATGGTCCAGATGCAGCATGTGTTTTCCCAAACACAGTTTGACCGATTTTAATTAAATTTTAATCGTCTGTAAAGGCAGTGGAACAAAATAATAATTTGAGGTGCAGAACATTCCAAATTAAAAGAATAAGGTAAAATTATGTGTGTAATAGGCCGTGGAGACCCATATGGTTGTGAGACGTTGAGGCTCCCACATTTTCTAGACAGTTGGCTCACAGATGGTGGTGAGGTTATCAGCCTTATGCGCCAGCTGCTCTTTACCTCCAAGAAGGTTCTCGGTACTCAACTTCTGTTGGAGGCTGAGTTTACCCCAGGGCCATAGTGAGGCTGGAAGGATTAGGTTAATTGAAAAATCCAGTGACCTCATCAGGAATTGAACCTGTGACCTACCGGTTTGTAGCATAGTGCCTCACAACCAACTATGCTACTATGTGCCCCCCCCCCCACATTCCAAATGTAACAGATTATTTTAGGATATTTAAAGGCTGTGATCAGTGAGGCATACACTGGAATGTAGCCTGCAGGCACTGCTTCTGAGGACTCACTGAATGGTGACACGGAACGTGACAAGTGGGAGCTTGGTGGAATTCATAGCATATACAGTCTTTTGTGCTGGTCATGGTAGCTGAGTGGTATAAGGCATGAACTGTCTTCCCTCTCTCGGAAGAAGGGATCATGGATTCGAATCTCACACAAGGCATAATGTTTGGTGTGTGTATGTGTTTATTCTGTGTTTATGTAGTCCTGTGTTTAGGTAAAGGCCTTGTGACGAGCTGATCCCCCGTCCAAGGAGTCCTGCCATCTGTAAAAATGATAAATGAAATTGAGAAATCAGCCCTATGCTCCTAAGTGGGAGTGAGAGGAAAAAAAAAACAGTCTTTGTGTTATTTTCCAGTAGACATGTGCTGACAGTTTTATGATGTTTCTGGACTCTGTGTTTGCCTTAATTCAAGCACATATATTGTAGAATATGATTGTGTTTGTCTGTGTCCAAACATTTGCATGTGGTTGTGCATGAAATTGATGTGTTACCAGTTCATGCCAGGCAGTGCAGAGAGGATCGGACTTTCCGTAACGTTCTCAGTCTACCGAGAATACTGCTGCATGCTGACTCTTGTTACGTGCACTTTCATATCCACATTTCGGCTTACCTCTGGTTTTATTTCGGTGTCATGAAGAGCGACAGTGCCCTGTCTGTGTTCGCAGTAGATGCTGCCAATGTGCCCTGTGCATTTTACGCGCAGTTTCTCTGACTTGCCGCAGCATTTTGATTTAGTCATATAGTTTCCTGCTCCTTCTCCATTGTGCTCCTTATTCATTCCAGTTTATGCATTCAGGAACGCAACCACCATGTACAGTGAGAGTCACTTGTGTGTAGTTGTTAAGTATATATCTGTGTTTCTATGGTTGTGACCATTGGTATATTTGAGTTACTGTTATTGGAAGCCATGCCTTAGCTCAGGTGATTATAGTCACTGGCTTCCCACTGTCACAGTCCGGGTTCGAGCCCAGGTCAGGTCATACGGGATTTGTGGTGGACAAAGTGTCACTGGGGCAGTTTTTTTTCTGAGTACAGTCAACTCTCGATTATCCGGGCTAATGGTGGGGATGGAAGTCACGGTTAATCGAAAACCCGGTTAAGCCAAATTTTATTATACGGGCTGGACGACTGTGAAGGGTCGGAGTTCGAGTCCCGGTAGGGTCAAGAATTTTAACTTCTCCAAATCGTCCAGACCGGCTCTGGGGTCCATCCAACCTCCTATCCAATGGGTACCGGGGGCTCTTTCCCCGGGGGTAAAGCGGCCGGGGCGTGAAGCTGACCACTCACCTCCAACTAGTGCCGAGGTCAAGAAAATTTGGATCTATACATCCACTCCCCCACACGCCTTAATGGCGTAGGGCTTAATTCGTTGAGCAGAGGAACAACTTTACCTTTTACCTTTTAATACCTTCATAATACTATAGACCTACCTGTATTTAAATTTATTCATCCTCATTTCTATGTCATCTCATGGCCTATTTAATACTTTCTTTACATTACACTCAGTATGAATTAGTTATTTCAATCACTGTTCAACAACATCCAGCACTTTTTACGGTCACACTTAACACTTAAAATAATTTAATACTGTCTTTTGCTTTTTCGCGGCATTTTCCTTTTTACGGATATCCGTACGAAGCCTACGTAATATTAGCTTGTCACTTAATAAACTGTCCTCTTCACTCTCAAGATAGTCTAGTAAGGATTCCAAATGATTAAGCGCAGCACCATGTGATACTTTCTTACTGGCAACACTGTCCACCTCTTCCTCATTCTCACTTTCTTCCCGCTCTTCTGGCTGCACCCCCATTGAAGTTACGATTTCGTCACTGCTTAACATTTCGAAGCCCGGTTCACACGAGTCACAGTTAAACCACTCTCTTATATTTTCCTCGTTGACTTCTTCACCACCATGAACTTGGTTAGCCACTTTTGTCAATTTTATGGCTATCTCATTTTCACTGAATCCAGTGAATCCATGGATTTCGTCATCTTCATTAGTGATGAAAGGCATCAGTTTCTTCCATGAATTTTTCAATACAGATGGCTTTACTGTATCCCACGCTGTTGAAATCTCGTATATGGCATCTAATACTGAAAAGGACTTCCAGAAACACGTCAGATCATTGCCTTCATCGATGTACTTTTGTAGCAAATTTGATCTGTAGATTCTCTTCATACTTGAGATAACTCCTTGATCCATTGGTTGGATAAGTGCGGTAACATTAGCGGGAAAATATTTCACAAAAATATTTCCATCATCTGACCTCAGGAGACTTTCGTTAGGATGTGAGGGCGCATTGTCAATGAGGAGCACAGCTTTCTCAGGTAGGCCTTGGGATTTTAGATGGTCACGAACTTGAGGCACGAATTTAAAATCAAACCATTCTTTAAATATCGCTCTATTCATCCAAGCTACTTTCTGGTTAAAATAATGGATAGGCAGACTTGAAGCTACTGTTCCTTTAAAAGAGCGTGGTCTTTTCGCTTTGCCGATAACTACTGGTATTAGTTTGTGTGTTCCTGATGCATTAGAACAGCACAAGACTGTCAATCTCTCCTTACTGGATTTGTGACCTGGAGCCTGTCTTTCATTTTGAAATGCCAATGTTCTGGTTGGCAAGCATTTCCAATAAAGACCCGTTTCATCGGCATTATAGATTTGTTCTGGCAGCAGATTTTCACTTTTCACAAAACTATCAAAATTGGTGCAAAATTGATCTGATGCTGACAAGTCCCCTGACAATTTCTCACCTTGAATACTGATTTCTCGTATTCCATGACGCTGCTTGAAACGTGTTAGCCAACCGGAAGAAGCGTCAAAACTCCCTTCTAGTTCAAGTGCTTCGAAAAAATATTTAGCTTGTTTAGCACAAACTGGTCCTGTTATTGTTGTTCCCTGTGCCCTTAGTTGATTAAACCAGGTCAGCATCGCTTTGTCGAGATCATCGTATGTTGATTTCTTCATGGTTTTTCTCTTCTTCATTCCGCTTGAATTAGAAGACGAAGCAAAGGAAATTAACTCATTCTTTTGTTTTTTCAAATCACGAACAGTTTGTTCTCCAATACCGTATTGCATTGCTAATTGTTTAACTACAGCTCCTTTTTCCAGCTGATTGATAATTTCAAGTTTCTGTTGAATACTTAACACAACACGCTTCCTTTTAAACCCCGACATTTTGCTAACGCACTTGAAGATCTATATTAAGAAACTGATACTTACTTTCACAATGCACTCTCACACTGAGATGGTACCGTTAAATAACCTGGGGCGGTGTATTTGTCCTTGAAACTTTCCAAAAATTCTTGCATTCTTTCACCCCCACCCTAGAACATTGTGTTCGCATAACGGGACGAAATAATGCAGAGCTCGGTTCACACTAGTGCGAAAATAGTGTTAAACTCACCATGTGAAACAAAAGTGAATGAATATTAAACAACATATAAACTTAAAAAAAAAAGCCCCGGTTAAGCCGCAAACCGGTTAATCCGCCCCCGGATAATCGAGAGTTGACTGTACTTTGTTTTCTGCTGCCAGTTCTCATTCCATCAACTGCTCCACACTCGTCTATCACCCGGGGCTGTTGCAGTAAGCCAAATAGTGACCGACGTATAAAGTGAACTGACTCTCACCCAACCCCAAGAAACGTAAAAGAAAAACTGCCTCTTAATAGATATTTGTAAAACTAAATTTAAAATTGATGTTGTAGAGAAGTAATAGCAGCAGCTTCTGTTCTATATTTGTCATATTGTGTTATGCTCACCAGTGGAGGCTACAACATTGAAATGTTTAGAGGGTAGTGCATATATATTCAGTGGTATCATATTGTCACATGTTGGGTATATGTCACGCGACAAATAACTTTACATTGTATTAAATATAGCGAATTTATTCCACTCGCTCTCACAATTACACAATTCATCATTACACCACTACTGCCATCTGCAGTATCACAATTACTTCTCCTGCTGGAGTCACTGCCATTCACTCGATACAGCCTGACTCGGCAACTGCTATATTGAAACTGACTGGTTACTCCCTCTCTAGTAACTGGCTCAATACTCACTATTCATTCACTCTAGTAACTCTTGCACTGACAACACAGAAAACAGTTATGTGATAGCTACCACTGTTGCGTAATGTCATGTTTACAGGCATTGCTGGGGAAATCTGCTGAGAGTTGTTTATTGCTGCATAGTAACCATGGTGTCCCCTGTGGGACGTGCTGTTACATCACTGCGGGGAGGGGTGTTTACTGAGCATGGCGTAATGATGGAAGGGGTGGGTGTATGTGATGTAACTCGCAAGACCGCAGAGTTCATGTGACCCCTGCTTCCCGTTGCGCCATCCACAGCACAATATTTTCCCATTATTGTTAGCATTCAGAGTAGGCCAGAGGTCATAGGTAAAGATACAAAATTTGTCCCCAAAATTTGAATAATCTCTGTGCCATGAAGGCATATGGGGCATGAATGTATACCTTCACATGTACTTAACTTCAGCAGTTGATGGAAGTGAGTGGTCAGCGTCATGCCTCAGCTGCTTTGGGGAATCAAACACTGATACCTCAGTAGTCCAGCCCTATCTTCTCCCTATACTGACTATGCTATGTCAATTTATATTTAATGAGTTACCCTTAAGATGCATGCAGCAGTACGTATAGGTGTTCATGTGAGATTCTATTATTGGTATCTGATTTTGACCAAAATTTGGGTTAGTAAACATTTTAGTGAAACCCCCCCGCATGAAATTTAATGCAGATATTTGCAATGAATCTCAAGTTGTTGAATGCATGCAAACAGACAGACGGGCATGGCAAGGCTGGTAGATGTGGAGTTGCAATTCTTCTCCGTGAAGAATGGCAAAAATTAAGTCATTCTGGATTTAATCCAGTTTTTAATGTTTTGTGGGGCGATTCTGAGCAGTGGGGCAGATTGTTCCAGTACCTCAGGGTAACCTGTTGCCTTCATTTTCATGCCAGAACAGTAAAGTTTACAGGCAGTCACCGCTGTAAGAACTCCAGATCCTAACATTGCCTATTTTTAAATGTCTAAGGGGGATACATTTCTTTGAGGATTTTAGCAAACGTGAGTTTTGATAATTCTAGAAGACAATGACAGGATCCTTGCTGTTTGTGTAAATCTACAGACTTTGTCAAATTTTGAGAAGAGTTGTGCTTTCTGTGATGTGATGCTGGGTAGTCTGAAAGACTTTAGGAAACTTTCCTGGGGCTCTCAAGCCAGACCATTAGGCCCCATTGTACACTGCCTTTTTCAGGGTACCTCTGTCTTGCCTCCAGCCCCAGCTACTCTCCATGCCCACTTATACAACCACTCTTCACTTCTGCCACTGTTTGTCCCACCCTCTTACATCTCTACTTGAACTTAAATGGCTTCATTCTTTCTCTTCTCCTTTCTCCTGTTGATTTGCTGAAGGTTCATTTCCTGTCCTGCATCTGTACTACTTTTTCTTGTAATCTTCTTGCTTGCCAAGCTTACTTTTTGACCCTGAAGATGGAGTCGGTACATTCCTTCAAAATGTTCATAAGCTTCCACGAGACTACATGGAGTCATGTGTCAGAAGACAGAACTTTTGTTATTTACCGCCCTGACAACCTCAGATCTTGCACGAATGAATGCTGGAATGTGTGTAGATGGCTTCCTTGTACCTCTTCTCCCTCTGCAGTATGCAGTAAAGTAGTGTGCTTTGCTTGCTCTTATCTTGATGTGCCACATATTAAATTTTTTGCAGCAGCTACGAGAATTGATCAGGAAATGTTGTTATTGGTGTTGAGAGCAAATGAGAAGGAACTAGGTTTAGCTGGACAAGATTCTTCTTGTTCTGTGGTACTAGATGACATGGAGAGACATCCTGGACCCACCATTGCTGCCCTGATGAAGTTATCCTTTGACGAAGAGCATCGGCATGCCATGTGTCAGCTTGGTGGCCTGCACGCTGTCGCAGAGCTAATACAGGTACAGAAATGTTGTTATACTGTAACTAACTAATGCCCTCACTTTGAAACGGGCTGAGAGTCATGTCAGAGATGATGCCTCCAAATTGGAAAGACCAAGAATGCGATATTGCGCTGCCTGGCCAGGGCTATCATACACCTCAGGGGGTGGTGATAGGCAAGTATGGTGCAGTCGTGGAATAATGATTAACGGGGGAAAACTGAAGGAACTCAGAGAGAACCCTGTTCCATTACCATTCATCCACCTCAAAAGGAAAAATATGTGCAGTGCATCACCTGAAATCAGTTTTGTACGAATACTTAGGTATGTTACTAGGCTGTGCCATAGCTCAAGCGGTTAGTCGTTGGCTTCCCACCGCGGTGGCCTGGGTTCGATCCCGGGGGTTTGGTCAAGTGGGATTTGTGGTGGACAGAGTGGCGCTGGGGTGGGTTTTCTCTGAGTACTTCGGTTTCCCCTGCCAATCTTCATTCCACCAAATTCTCCATCATCATAATCACCTGGGGCTGGCTACAATAGGCCAATCAGTGGCCGCTATGCTGAGTGGACCCAGTCAAACTCTACCCCCAATAGGTATGTTCTTCATAACTTCAGTGAGTTTCATTCAGATCGGAAAAGCAGTGTATTTTACAATTATTATGAACAGCTATTTTTTTCACCAACAGAAACCATTCAGTTATTTTGCTGTTACATTTCTCTTGTAATAACACTATCCCTAAAGAAAAGTGACTTTACAAATGGTGTTTTGTGGAAGCGGTAGAGGTTACTGATTTAACCATTTGAATGCCAAGCGTCCCCCATAGAAATACTTGCTGGAAATATCAGTGCTACTTGGGGGTAAGTGCAGCTGCTCAGAGAGACTCACAGCACTTTCTCAGATAACCTTCAGATGGCCACAGGTATAGATGGTGTGAAAGCCAGTTCTTTCTTCAAATGTCAGTATGATGCTATCTGTCTAAAGAAATACTGTGCTGAGCTGATCTAATCGGGAAATGGCTTGCCGAGAGTGAACACTTCCAATGCAGAGGTGTTTAAATACTTAAATCCCTGCACCAGATATTTTTAAGTGATGTTGAAAAAGTTAATGACTGTTGTAATTTGTAATTTAGAACTATTAGCTTCCCCCTAGTGCCTAACAACAAAGAGACTGTACAAGTATTATGTTTCTGGACATTATCTATCTCCTGTTTTTGTCTAAAACTGTCCTGTTTATATTTCAAAACAACGTTTTGGAAACTGGATTCTGTCTCCAGCTTCAGGTAAAACCTACTCAGTCGGAATTAATTGATAGAGCTAGTCCCTATCTCCAGACAGCTTTACCAAAACCCAGACAGGGTGTACAAGTCAAGCACAGCATGAACCATCTGTAAGGGCTAAGACAGAACATTAAAATATTAAAAACTCTACATATATGAGGCCTTGCACCAGAGAACTATCAAGATAGAAATTATCACCGGAGAGATGGAATTCTTTATATGGTACCAACACACACACACACAAAAGCAAATTTTCCTACTTGGTTTACACTGGGTGGAGTTGTAGTTTTTATTTTATTTGGAATAAACTGCTTACTGTTAGTTGTTACAGGATGCCAGGGCTACATATTTTGTGGGCATTGAAACAGAATAATTGCCTACAGATAAAGCTAAAATAACTTGTATAGTATAGACACAGTCAACGTTTCATCAAACTAAGTTTACTTGACAGGATCACTCTCAGTGATTAGTGCTCCACTGATAGAGCCCCACATCACACTCTGTAAGCACTGAATCACGTGAGCCCTACGTGGGGTCTCTGAACTTGTACATGCTTAGGAACACAAACTGAACACAGCTGGTATCCTGGTGAAGTTAGTTCAGTGTTCGCTTCTAGATGGCAAAGCCTTGTTCTATGATGAGGCGAGGAAACCTGCTGGTACTCACTAGAATCAGATACTTGGAGCTCTTGCCCACTGAAAAATTCCAGTTGGTAATGCGGGCAGTTTATTTGTGTGAATTTTCAAATATTGGGTTACAGGTAGTACTGTCTGCAGCAGAGAGGTGAGAACAGCCAGGTATGTACAGTAATTCCATCAGGCAGAGCATGTTAAAGGGCATCTATTTTAATTAGCATCAGAAATAAATGACATGATGGAAGATGGGTTAACAATTTTGTAAATGTAAATCAGTGTTTACTCTTAGCTTCTAGCAGTTCAGGAATCCGAATTAATTTTAAAATTAACGTGCATTCCTCATGATTCTCCTATATCCAGTAAGTTATAATTGTGGGCCGCACCATAGCTCAAGAGGTTAGTCGCTGGCTTCCCACCGCGGCAGCCCAGGTTCGATCCCATGTCTGGCCAAGTGGGATTTGTGGTGGACAAAGTGGCGCTGGGGCAGGTTTTCTCCTGCCAATCTTCCTTCCAACAATTGCACCACAATCACCCTCACCTGTCATCTGGGGCTGGTACAATAGGTCAGAAGTGGCCACAGTACACGTGACTTAGTCCCACCCCACTAGCATTAAAAAAAGTTATAATTGTCATGTTTCTTTAAATGAACGTTGTTTTTGTAAAATGGCAGTAAGTATACATTTTTTATTTTTATTTTTTTGTAAGAGCTTTGTGTGGGTGAGAAGAGGAATGCACATAGGATATTGGTGGGAAAGCCAGATGGAAAGAGACCACTGGGAAGACCAAGGCTTAGGTGGGTGGACAGTGTTTAAATAGATCTTAGAGAGATACGATGGAATAGTATGATTCGACTGATCTGGCCCAGGATAGGGACCAGTGGAGGGCTCTTATGAACATGGTAATGAACCTTTGGGTTCCATAAAATGCTGGGAAACTCTTGAGTAGTTGCACAATTGGCAGCTTCTCAAGAAGGGCTAAGCACCTTGAGTGACTGAAGAGTTTTGTGTGTTTTTCAGATTGATCATGAAGCACACGGAAGTACGACAAGTGACCAGTACTGTGTCACGCTACGGCGCTATGCAGGAATGGCATTAACGAACCTCACCTTTGGTGATGGTGCAAACAAGGCTTTGCTGTGTTCTTTTCGACAGTTTATGAAGGCTCTGGTTGCTCAACTGAAATCCCCAAGTGAAGACCTGCGACAGGTAGACAAAAATCGTAATGAAAATAAGAACATTATTTTAGTGGACAGACTATGAAATCTTACATGATAATTCTGTGCAGAACATGTACTATGATCCATATAATGGTTTCTACTCTGGTACTGAAATTGTAATCATTAGCCTTTATCATCTAAGAATACAAAAAAAGAAAAAGAACTCCATGGCCTGCAGTCCGCAAGTGAACTATACTGACCGAGCGACCGCAGCTTGTTGGCAAAGTTAGTGCCAACTTTAGTGGATAGAGGGTGTCACCTGGTCAGTGCAAAGAATCCCCACGTCCATTAATTTCGGTTTTCTAGACCGGAGCCACTACTTTTCATACAAGTAGCTCCTCAGTTATCCTCACGAGGCTGAGTGGACCTCGTTCCAGACCCATTACTTCTCAGAAAATCTGGTAGCCCTGGGAATCAAACCTGGGACTTCTGGATCTGTAGCCAGTAACTCTGAGCACTAGACCATAGAGGTGTTGTGGGAACAGCTGATTTAAAATTGCCCAGTACTTGTGGCCAAGTTGTAACTCAGCAGTAAATGTCTGACATTCAGGATTAGGGGATTTGAAATCTCCCAGTACTGTGCATTGTGACGCCAGATTTTGAATCATGGTTAATGGTATTAGTATTGTCACGTATCGGGCGTATAACGTGACAAATAACTTCACGCCGTATTTTATATAGCGAATTTCATTTCACATTCGCACTTACAATCACCCAAATTACAGATTTGCGATTACTGCTATCTGCAGTATCACAAATAGTACACTCCAAATGCCAGAATACAACTGGCTAGTTGCTGGCTAACTCGGAACTAACTCGGAGGTAGCTCGAGGACTCACTCGGCGGTAGCTCCAGGACTCGCTGACTGACTGCGAATAGCCTTCGCTGCTCCTTATGTAGCCTTGATCGGACAATTGTCGTCTGATGCCGTGTTGCTAGCCACGCTGTCCGGAGTTGTTGACTGCTGCCTAGCAACCGCGATATCCCTCGGTGACGTCACCGCTGTTGATTCGCTTTGCATAGCTTCAAGGTCGCGGGGACTCGGCTAACGTCGGCTCCGCTCGTGACGTCACCGCGCGTTGCATAGCTACCAGGATGCGGGGTGATTACTCGCCTATTACGCGAGCGCTACGTAACCGCTACGTGCAGCTGGGGAGGTAGGGGTCAACATGTCACACTGCCCCCTCCTTAAGGCTGTTCGTCCCGAATAGCCTAACGGTGCATCCCTGTTCCTTTTCCTCGGTGGCTGTTCTTGCAGTGTCTCCTGTTGTTTTGGCTACTCTTTTGCAACGACTATTCTTCGTCCGTTACATCCGCTCCCCTCTTAAGACAAAGCTCGTCTGGAGCGGTTTCCTTTCAGCTCGCCAGAAGATTCAGTTGTGTCCCATTCATCCATCACTTTCATTCTTCCTTGGGAGGCCGGTACTTCTACACTACCGGTTCCTCCTCTGCTTGAAGTCTCTTTTTCCGTTTTGGAGGGGGTCGTCCCCTCCACGAGGTCCAATCCTTCATCAGGTCTTTCGTCGGAAATTTCTTACATCGACGTAGCAGCTCTTGATGCGGTGTTTGCACTCGCTGACGTCGTTGCTCCTTCTGGACTTCCAGCCACTTGCTGGCGCGAGACCTTGGTGCCAAGTCCTTTCTCCGGTATCCGAAGGTTCCCTGGGGAGTTTCCTTCTTGGAGTCATTTCTCCAACATCGTGCCACTGTCGCGCGACGGGATATCTTCCTGCAGATGGCAGCCAACTTTATCCGAGACGCATCATCTCCTCAGGTCCAAGGTTTCCTGAAGATGTTCCTCTTGCGCCATGCCACTCTTGCAGAGCGGGACACCCTGCTGCTGACGACGGCCAATTTGTTCTGGGGTCCGCAATNCCATCGTCACTCCGACCGGTATCACTATGGGGACCTCTTCTTCTTGTGCCGTGCCGACGACATCCTGTTTTTCGCTTGGACTTGTCTCCATTGCATCTCGGCAGGCTGTCATCTCTTCCTGCCAGGCATTCACATTGGCTTTCAACCTCTTGGCTCGCATGGCGGCCGTCCTGGCTTCGATGGCTTTCGTCTCTGCTTGGAAGGCTTCTCTCTCTGCAGCCATCTCTTCTCGCCAGGCCTGTCTGTCAGCCTCCCATCTTGCCATGAAATCCTTATGGTCTTTCCTCCTCTCTTCCTTCTCTTTCCTCCTGTCTTCCTTCGAATCGGCTTCCAGTCTGGCCGCAAATTGCTCCTGGGCGAACAACAGACGTTCCATAATCTTCTCCATGTCCATGTTGTAGCAGTTGAATACTCGATGCACAATAATTCAATTATTTGTCAGGCGTATTTAAGTTTGTAAAAATTCTGACACCGTAGCAGTCGAATACTCGATGCACAATAATTCAATTATTTGTCAGGCGTGTTTAAGTTTGTAAAAATTCTGACACCAAATTGTCACGTGTCTTGAGATCGAATCTCGTCGGTCACGTGTGTAAGTTCAAATCCCACTTCTGACACCAATGTAACGTGTCTTGAGATCGAATCTCGTCGGTCATGTGTGTAAGTTCAAATCCCACTTCTGACACCAGTTGTCGTGTATTGGGCGTATATCGCGACAAATAACTTCATGCCATATTTTATTTAGCGAATTTCATTTCACATTCGCACTTACAATCACCCAAATTACAGATTTGCGATTACTGCTATCTGCAGTATCACAAATAGTACACTCCAAATGCCAGAATACAACTGACTAGTTGCTGGCTAACTCGGAACTAACTCGGAGGTCGCTCGAGGACTCACTCGGCGGTAGCTCCAGGACTCGCTGACTGACTGTGAATAGCCTTCGCTGCTCCTTATGTAGCCTTGATCGGACAATTGTCGTCTGATGCCGTGTTGCTAGCCACGCTGTCCGGAGTTGTTGACTGCTGCCTAGCAACCGCGATATCCCTCGGTGACTCACCGCCGTTGATTCGCTTTGCATAGCTTCAAGGTCGCAGGGACTCGGCTAACGTCGGCTCCGCTCGGCTCACTTCGGCTCCGCTCGTGACGTCACCGCGCGTTGCATAGCTACCAGGATGCGGGGTGATTACTCACTTATTACGCGAGCGCTACGTAACCGCTACGTGCAGCTGGGGAGGTAGGGGTCAACATGTCACAGTATTTAAAAAATGCAACGCTTGCACCAGGTGGACTTCATTCATGCATCACATGACATGTGATATAGTCTGGTTACTGTACATAATACTTTCAAATCAGCATGAAGTTGTGCCTGTTTGTTCCTAGCCAGAATGTGGCAAGTCCAGTAATGGGGTTGCTACCCTTTGAGCTCTCAGGAACACAGTAACAAACCTGTGGGTTCCATAAAATGCTGGGAATCTTGCGAGTTGCTGAGTGTCTCAAGAGGGACTTGGTTCTATGGAGTCAGAAGTTAAAGAAATTGTTTCTTCACAAATAAATACAATTGCTTAATAATATCAAATTAATGTATAATATAATTAATGACGCATGAACAATGGAAGAAGGCTCAGTGAGATTCAGAACCAGGACGACGCCCCAAGGGGCCTGGCTTTAGTGTGTGTTCAGTATGTGACGTCACTTGCTAGAGTTGTGGTTGTGTGGTAACATATGCCAGTAGAGAGAAAATGTGGATATTTTTTGTTGTTTTAACCACAACTGAACTAAACTGAACTGAAGTCTAATTTATGGAAAATTGTAAATTGTGAATTGTGAACTAAAAATGGAGAAGTAAAGCAATGTTTATATTGGGCATCAACAGGGACCAAAAGGGATATTAACTGAATGCAACATTTCTTATTAGGATGGATTTTCCTCCCTTTCTTCAGGTAGATGTCTATGAATATTATATGAGAATGATGAAGATATCTTACTTCAGGTGACAGCAAGTGTCTTAAGAAACCTGTCATGGCGTGCTGATGGCGCCAGTAAGCAGACTCTTCGAGAGGTTGGTGCAGTGTCAGGGTTGATGCAAGCTGCTATGGAAGGGAAAAAGGAATCTACTCTAAAATCCATTCTCTCAGCTCTCTGGAATCTCTCTGCACATTGTAGTATCAACAAGGTATGCAGCAGTTTGGCACTAGAATGGTTTTTCAGTCTACTTCCAGTAGGAGAGGGATTGATGTGTATACAAGGGACAGTCAGTAAACAAGTTGCAAATGGAAGTAAAACAACTGTAATGGACATCATAGGTTTTCTGTGTGTATCACTAGGTAGCAGCACAGTCCAGCTTCATGACAATGTAGGTAGCAGACACACATGCACATGTTCGCAGGCTTGTTTATGTAGTCAAAATGGCGACCATGTTTGCAGAGTGTATTACTGAGGAGCAGCGTTCTGTTGTGCGTTGTTTCTGTGGGCAAAATGACTCCATGGAAAGGATATTAATAATTTCCTGTTTACGGTGGGAAGCATTTGTCACGTAAAACATTTCACAACTGCGTCAAGAAGTTCCCTGAAGGATGTTCAAAAGTCGCAGATGATGCCAGATCAGGTTTGGATGTGGCTGAGACAACAGTCAAAATACTTCTGTGCTGTGGATTTCGGCGCTCTGATAAAGCGATGGGACAAGTGTATCAATGTTGATGGATGATATGGCAAGAAATAAATGTATTCTCTACTTTCAAATATCACATGTTTTATGTTTGATATTCACTTCTGATCTGTTTACTGACTCTCCCTCATATTTATAAATTTCTGCTGTATTTCACAGTCTATTCTTGGTCCTTATATCAGAAAAATTTGCACAGTACTAACAACTTCCATACTGCGTACGAAAGCCCGTAGGACTGAACCAAATTGCAGCCCCTGTCTGTTACATCTCAGAGACTTCCTGTGGTGGTGTTATTATTTATTCGGATTAACATTTGGTGCTAATTGTTATGAACAACATCAGAGCTCTCAGACCAGGATTTTCATAGTTTTTGTTAGCCCTATGCGAATGCAGACCAGGGAATGCAAATTTTCATGATGGGGGTTGTGGAATGTTGACATTGGTATGTTGATTGCAGATGGATGAAGGAACAGCAGAGGAAAGGTCGCATGTATGATCTGTCCAGTCTTGTCAGCTTATGTCATCACTTAGTAGGGGAGAGTTATGGAAGTTTGCCGTTACCATTCTTTGGCCAAACAGGGACATACCTCGAATTAGACCACAATCACATCCTTCCATGTCCTTTCCAATTTGTTAGTCACTGATCATCATGTTATTCTGTGCTATATAAACTGAATTGCTGAAAGTATTGTTACAGAACTTATCAACAGTATGGGTTTCATTTACAGGTTGACATCTGTGCTGTTGATGGTGCCTTGGGTTTCCTTGTTGACATGTTGAGTTATGATGCTCCATCGAAGTCTCATGCAATTGTAGAGAATGCTGGAGGAATCTTACGCAACATTTCTAGTCATATTGCTGTTCGTGAAGATTACAGGTATGTGTTTGTTGAATGTTGGGACCTGATGGTCAGCTGAGTGGGACATATGGTCTCAGATAATAAGTGATTTAATCACAGAATCTAATTTTATGAGAAGTTTGATGCATATCAAGCACCACCTTATTTAATCTGCCCAATAATTGTATTTCTGCTAGAAGAACTGTATAGCTTTTTATAATTTAGTAATAAAACATGTTACCGAGAATTGTTACTGTCTTTACAAATTTAAATTAATAATTGATGTAGTATTAAAGTGTACTTAATTGGAAGCATTGTTTCTACTGTAGTGCTACTGGGTTTTTGGTGAAATTATTGGTGGGATGCAAAAGATTGAGAATTGCCATACTCGACAACTTTTTGAGAAGAGGAGGAATGAAACGCATACATAATGTACTACATAGACCTGTTGCTAGGTAATGGCCTGTACACACACAGCAGAGGAACATCATGCAACAGCAGAAGAGGTATTGCAAGTGGTGTTCTTTGTGGATCTGCTCTGAGGCTATAAGACCTGACCATCTGAATTTAGTTTAGTTAGCGCAATTGGTGCAGTGGAGTGGAGTCAGTTGGTTGGTGAGTGACTGAGTGAGTGGGTGAGTTAGAAAACTTCTGCAGTTCAGTCCTTGTGAGTCGTTGCTGTCAGAAGCTGGGGGCTGATGCACAGGGATAGTTCAGGAACCCAGAAGAAGGGGAACATCCACTGTTGGAAGCCATTACCAGACAATGACTGGTGAAGACACAGCAGACTGAGAAGACTCAGTGTATGCTGTAGTGAACTGCATAGTGTGTGACTTAGCAGTAGCGCTATAGTTACTTGTTAATTATGTTCTGTAAGAGTTAAATAAATCCAGTTATCAATTCACACCCTTTTTATAGTCACTTATACATGTGACAATATACGATGGGGTACCCAAAAGAAACAGAACTAATTTTTTTGTGGGCAGAGCTTTTATAGTACCGCGTTTTGCCGCTATGAGCGCGTAGAGCTAACATTCCTGAGTCGATAAGCCGACTACTGTTGCTTCAGAAGGTAAGGACTAGTTTCGGCAGAGTTTATAGTGACAACTGTTTTGTGTGATCGTCGTTTTTGCAATGGCTGATTTTCGTGAAAGCATGCGGCGGTGCAATTCTGCTTTTTGCTCGGGAAAAGTGGAACAGAAACTCTTGAAATGTTAAAAACGGCGTACAAGGACGATGCTATGGGGAAAACTCAAGTGTTTGAGTGGTTTTCCTGTTTCAAAAATGGTGAAATGTCAATTGATGACAAACCTCGTTCTGGTCGTCCTTGCATGGCCCGAACACATGAAAATGTTGAAAAAATTCGTAAAATCATCAAGGAAGATCGACGACGGACCATTAAAGAAATTGTGGAGCTGTTGGGAGTGACTTGGAGCTCAGTTCAGCGAATTTTGACAGAAGATTTGGGAATGAAAAGGGTGGCTGCGAAATTCGTGCCACGACTGCTAACTGCTGAACAAAAACAAGGTCACGTGGAAGCATGCTGTGCTTTGAAAGAAGAGTCCCGAAATGATCAAAACTTTTTTTTTGTTTCCTCGAATGAAAAGAGACATGAAAGGAAAGCGTTTTGCTGATGTTGCTGAGGTGAAGGAAAAAACGACGGAGGCGCTGTCAAGCATCTCAAAAGATGAATTTAGACAGTGTTTTGAAAAATGGAATAAAAGACTAGACAAGTGTATTAGTGTAAGTGGAGAGTACTTTGAAGGGGATTGAAGGTTTGTGCTTAAAATTTGAATAAATAAGTTAAAAAAAAATAAGTTTGGTTTCTTTTGGGTACCCCCTCGTATATGTTTGGTAGCTTCAGAAGGTTCTGGGTTAGAAGTGACTGTAGTGACACTGGTATTGTTCACTCGCTGTCTGATATAGACCAGTGATGCGCAGTGTTTTTCTTTCAAAGGGCTTCATTTCCAAACTGTGTTTTGCAGTCTGCACAGTGTAGGCTGTAATGAATAATGAAATGGAATTTGTAGAATACCTGTTGTATAAAAGAGTATTAGAAAAATTAATGTAGACATAAATATGATTTGTTTATGGTGGACTGCAGACTGCATTGGGTCGCCTGGAACAGCAGGTTGTCATCAGATTTTGTCAGTGACTGAAGTAATCAATGGCAGAAATGCTGCAGACATGACAAGCAGTGCCCTGTTATGTACCTATGGAGCTGAGCCCTTCTCGAGGAGCCGCCAATTCTGCAGCTACTCAATGCTGGGAAATTCCCAGCACTTTATGGAACCCGAAGGTTCATTACCATGTTCACAAGAGCCCTCCACTGGTCCCTCTCCTGAGCCAGATCAATCCAATCCATACCATCCCATCCTGTCTCTCTAAGATTCACTTTAATATTGTCCACCCACCTACGCCTTGGTCTTCCCAGTGGTCTCTTTCCTTCTGGCTTTCCCACCAATATCTTACATACATTCGTCTCCCCCATTCGTGCTACGTGCCCTGCCCACCTCATCCTCCTTGACTTGATCATTCTGATTATACTTGGAGAAGAGAGCAAGTTATGTTCTGAGCCTTGGCCATTGTCAGATGGTAGAAACGATTGCAGAGGAAGTTGGTAGCTTCTGCAGAGTGGACCTGAGGGGGCTGCATATCACAACAAGAACGGTGAATTCGGAACAGTGTGATGGTGACATCAGGCTCAATGGTGAGCTCAGATAATGGTGCAGATTCTATCTGATGGATCATCACAACTAATGAGACGTGGCACTTCATGTCTGGTTCTTGAACTAAATGACAGTGCTGCATGCAGAAGTTCACGTCATCACCAGGAGCCGCTGTGACAAGATAATCTTGCAAAGCGCTATCATTTCTATCTGAAATAACGTTTCCTAATGATCTCACATGCCTCAAGGTCAGAACATGCAGTACACTGACAGCTATGTGACCATTGACAAGTCGAGGTGTCACATCACCCTTCCCGAGCCTGGGCAATGAATATAAATTCAGCGAGATAGAAAGTTCCAGCAAGATATGCTTGAAAGGAAAGGTAATGTAGGAAAAAATTGTTTGACTTGTAGGATGTCTTGCACTGTTAGTTCAGTCTTGTTGGTGTTGTGGGAGGTGCTTGCTTGTTTGTAGGAGGCAGTTTGACTAAGACATCTAAAAGATGTGGATGTGCTGCTACACAATAAAGCTACAGTTTGTATGTCAATGGTTACGGAGCCGGCAACTCACCGAGCCTCATAATGCACTGCCTACCTGTGCACTGTACTCTCCCAATTCTGCATCATGTGATTTTACTTCTTTCCTCACAGGAAGCAATGACAGAATTTTGAATACAAAGTGGGCACAAAATTTGACTGTGTTGATCTACACTCTTGTCCCACTCCAGAGCAGGACCAACTTCTTAGAAGTACCATACAGCTCAAAAGCTGAGAAAGTTGGCATAGCGTCTATATTAGAGAAATTTACTTATGTTTGGTTTTGACCTTGGCCGAGATACTGGTTGTTCTGACTGAGGTTTTACATGGTTTTCCTCTGTTCCTCAGATAAATGGCAGAATTGTGCTTTGATTAGGCCACAGTCACTTCCTTCCAGATCTTTTCCAATCCATCATTAATTTATTGTCCTACCATTTGATGCTGATTAGTTTAGATGCTGACAGTATTGTAGACTAAGCCACGAAAACAGTACAGCTCAAAGCTAAAACTCACAAAGAACAGTCCAGCTTCTGAGAAACCTACCCAGCAGATGGGAAGTGGTGCTGTCAGTCAGGGATGTAGGAAATCAGAAGAGAGTGCTGCAGGAATATGCAGTATTCCAGCTTTTATTATTTATGCATGTGTTCTCCCCGATTTTTGAAGTCTGTTGAGTTGTGATATGAACTCTGAATTCTCATCACTGGGTCCACTTGGCATGGCGGCCACTGATTGGCCTATTGTACCTACCCCGCGTGATTATGATGATGGCGAATTTGGTGGAATGAAGATTGGCAGGGGAAACCGAAGTACTTGGAGAACACCCGCCCCAGTGCTACTTTGTCCACCACAAATCCCACTTGAACAGACCCGGGATCGAACCTGGGCCACCACGGTGGGAAGCCAGTGACTAACCGCTTGAGCTATGGTGCAGCCAATTCTTATCATTGTCTCTGTTTTTGACAGGGCAATACTTCGTAAGCATGGCTGTCTACAAGTGCTCCTACAGCAGCTGAAGTCACCGAGCCTTACAGTTGTGAGCAATGCATGTGGAACTCTCTGGAATCTCTCAGCCCGTTGTGCTGAAGATCAACGTGTGCTGTGGGACATGGGTGCCGTCAGCATGCTTCGGAGTCTCGTCCATTCGAAGCACAAGATGATCTGCATGGGATCCAGTGCAGCACTGAAAAACTTGTTAAGTGCAAAGCCAAACAATAATTTCCCACCCCTTGACTCCACGGCAAAAGGTTTAGGGCTCCCTGCACTTCCAAGTCTCTATGTTCGTAAGCAGCGTGCCCTCGAACAGGAGCTTGATCAGACACTGTCAGAGACTTGCGACAACATTGAACCAAGTACGTCACCTTCAGCTTCCACAGTCGGGTTGCGTGATGAAAAATTCATCTTTTCAACAACAGAGCGTTCTTTTGGTTCTTCAGAGAGACGTCATGGCAGGATGTATAATTCTTATTCAAAGTATCATTCAAGAGGCTCAGTTGCAAGATCTGACAGCAGAGACTCTGTGACCAGTACTCTGTCTGACTCAGTGTATGAACGTGTGAGTAGAAATGTTGTGAACCCATTGACTTACGGACAAGTGTCGCCAACAAATGGGATATCACAGGGATTAACGGGGAGTCTGAGCGATTCTGGGCGTATCAATTCTCGGATGTCAGGAGGCGAAAACTCAGATCGAAAATTTCTTCGCAGGTATTGCAACTCTATGAAGGAGAGCAGGGATGCTCTGCCACTGGATGTCCGTAACGAGGAGAACCCTCAGCAGTCTGTTTCCCAACACAGTCATGAACTGTACCAGCATGCGAGGTTGGGACAAATTAGTGAAACAAACGTCTCTGGTCCCTCAGAAAATCAAATGAATGCTATCACCCTGTCAAAGGATTCACATGTAGGCCCTCAACAGTCTTCCAGAGAAAACCAACACAGTGCCAAGACTGCAGATAAAAGAGAAGAGGATTGTCACAATGACAGAGTAGGTGGCACCATCCATTTAGACCCAAGTTTGACTAAACAACCAAAGAATCTCTTCTGTGATAGCATGAGGTCATCAAACCAGAGAGCGTCATTTGGTCCTCTTGTTGCCGGATCTTACGGTAAATCCTCGAATAAACCACAGTACCACCATTCAACACAGCAGCAAAATTGTATTGCCTTATCTTCATACACCGCAGTAAGACCAAAGTACTCTGACTTTCCATATGATGATGACACAGAAGCCCAAGAGCTGCCTGTGGATTACAGCCTGAAGTATGTTGAGGATAACCCCCAGCCAAGGGACATGGAGGTAGCGGCGACTGAAAGTAATCACATGAAGATAGAAGGTGACCAAGAGGGCGATGCTGCAGAGGCATACCAAAGCTCTAGAAATGGTGTAAGAGGAAAGCAAAACCAGAATGATTTGGGATGTGGCTACCCATACAGACATCAAGGGAGCATCCATGTCAGCAAAAATATGAAGATGAATGTTGTGTATGGAGACTATGCAGAAACTGACTTGGATCAACCTACAGATTATAGCTTGAAGTATGCAGAAGAAAATGATGAGACAGAATTTGAAAAGAATCATGAGATGAGCAGTGAACAGGAGAGAGATTACTATGACGGTAATGACCCTATTCATGAAGATACCTTGAAAACGTATTGTACAGAAGGAACTCCGTACGAGACACCGTACAACTTTTCGACAGCTACCTCCATGTCGGACCTGCACTGTGAGCCGCCTATGCCACATTCAGAGGACGGTGGAGGGAAGAAACAGCCGGAGCAGTACACCAGACATGGATCAGTAGAAGGCAACGTGACCAAAAGCGTTGACGAAAATGAAACGTCTATTTCAGAAGATGTATCTAATTTTGATAAAGATTTTACAGAAAAAGGACCTCAAATGAAAGCCCTACCTCCAGCTCCTAGACAGCCATTGAAACGACTACAGTCAGGTCTGAGTTCAGGCCTGCTTTCTCCAGAGAAACCTGTTCAATACTGTGAAGAAGGTACTCCAGGTTGTTTCTCTCGTGTGAGTTCCCTTAGCTCACTAAGCAGTGTTCCGGCTATTGTGGATAGTGCACTTGAGGTCTCCATAGCGGCTCACACTGATCACACTGTGTCAGAACCAGACCAGAAGCTAAGGGATGCTGACATAGCAAAGGGCGATGCTTGTTCCCTTGCAGAGGAAAGTGACAAGGGTGCTGTGAAGAGGGAAGTTAACAGCTCCACTGATGTGGGGGATGAGGCTGGTGGCCGCACAGAAGACATGAAGGAAGAACAGCAGCGAGGAGACAGAGAAGGTGAGTCAGCAGTTCCTATTAACCCCTTGTCAACCAACACCATCTCAGGAAGAGACGGAGGGTTTGGGGATATATATATGGTAACGACTGTGGTGGGTTGTATGGTGACTGGTACACGTTCTGCATGGTAGTGACTGAGACTAGCTCCTTCTGAGGGCCCAGGTGTGAACTCTTCTGGATGGAAATAAATCCAGTTTCTGAAACATGTTTTGAAATATTCAAGGTGATGGACAGTGTCCAAAATAATTGTCATGCTTATTGTAACATATGGGGGGGGGTCACATCATAAATGCATTTAACTTATGTGAATTCAATCATATGGGTTTCCCCTCTGACCCCCCAAAATTAAATGACACTGGTGGTTTTACAAAGACTTTCTCTCCATAATCCAAGCCTGTCTCTGCATCTCTTGGATGAACATCAAGCCCTGACTACCCTTGGGTTTACTGTTCTCGTTTTTAATCCTTTCGTTCCTCTCTCTCTGCGCATTACGCAATTGAAAGTAAAATTACCATACATTTTACTTGTATATGTACTCTCTGTTGTATACATGATGATGGTATATACAAATGCACATACATTACGGATGATCTAAAATATTTTGAAGGGCAATTCTGACTGTATGCAATTCTTGGTTTGTGTGCCATCGTTAGAATGTAACCCCCCTGTAAGAGGCTACTCCACTGTACCACTGTGAGCCATATTTAGATTTTGCTTGTCTTACAGGCCTGTAGTATGAGGGTAAGTCAATAAGTAAGTTACAAATGGATATACATCGTGTGTCCAGGATCCATTAGGACTCTTTTTTTTCCCTGCAATGCCATCTGTTGGCAAGTTGTGGCATTAAGATTCTTGAAGTTTCAGCAGTGGCTGTCTATAATTTCAAAGCACAAGCATCTCTGTGTCATGTGTTCTGACCTTGAATGTAACAGTACTGCTCTGACGCTCGTCGGAAAATGGCGATTTAATAGAGAGCCAACATCAAATTTTGTTTGAAGTTAGGCAAAACAGCCGGAGAAGCATACAAAATGATGAAAAGTGTGTACGGTAGTGATTGTTTGAGTTGCTCAAACATTTTTTGATGGTATGCTGTATTTCGTGACGGCAGGGAGGACATTGAAGATGCTCCACATACATCAAAGCTGAGAATAAGTCACACTGAAGAAAATGTGAAAAAAGTGACAGAAATCCTTGCACCAGACAGATGTGTTTCTGCAAGACTCATCGAGGAGCTTCTGGGAATACCAAAAAGTACTGTGCATCAAATTTTGACTGAGGATTTGGGCAAATGGAAGGTCTATGTACGGTTTGTACCACACGCGCTGTCAGGCAATGAAAAACATGCCAGAGTGAAACACTGCAAAGACATATTATGGTCGGCCCAAAGTGATACAAAATTTACAAAATCGATTGTTGCTGGTTTCGAGACATGGTGTTTTCAATATGAGCCTCTCACAAAGCGGCAGAGTGCAGCATGAAGCGTGGTTGTGCCCAAAGAAGCTGAAACCAAAGTGTGCATGCAAAAGAGTCAAGTAAAGACACTGCTAACCGTTTTCTTTGATTCCAAAGGAATCATTCACAGGGAATTTCTGCCAGGTCAAACAGTGAGTTCTGATGATGTTTACATAAATGCTGACTCCTACTGTAACATCCTCAGGAAACTTCGTAAGGGCATTCAATGGAAGCAACCAAGACTCCTCACCAAAGGCATGTTGCTCTTGAATGACAATGCATGTCCCCGTACTGCCACCAAGACAAATGAGCTGCTGTGAAATTTCAAGTGGGAAGTCTTCGAGCATCCTCTGTATAGCCCCGACTTGCTCCAAGCGACTTCCATTTGTTTGGCCCTCTTAAATATCTTCTTTCAGCTGAACATTTTCCCAACGATGAAGCTGTAGAAAGGGAAGTCATCACCTAGTTCAGACAGCAGCCCAAAGAACTTTATGCTGCTGGTTTTTAGGGGCTTGTGAAAGGGTGGGACAAATGTCTTAATGTACAGGGAGATTATGTTGAGAAATAAACTCATTTTCAAAATCGGTACTCTTATTTAAGTTCTATATCCATTTGTAACTTACTTATTGACTTATCCTCGTATTTTTATTAAGGAAAGGAAAAAGTAAAGGAAAGGAAAAGTAAAAACTTGAGTGATGTCCTTGAATAATGTAATGCACGTGTCTGAATCTGAAGCTTGTAATGGAAGACATCTTCGTCACAAATAACTGATGAGTGTACTTTTCTTGATGTCAGGTAAAGTGGTTACTTTCGGGGGTGCTGACCACTATGCCGAGGAGACGCCGTTGATGTTTTCACGATGCAGTTCCCTGGGCTCGCTAAGTAGCATTGAGCAGCATTCCATTCATGACGATCGTAGCTCTGTCATCAGCGATTTTAGGTAACAAGTGCTGACTGAGTTCCATCCAAATTTTACTGTACAAATGTAGACATGTCAATAGGAGAACTTGTGGTCTCAACATGGGCCAGTGCACCTTCATTTATGGTGTCCTGCATTTGTCCCTGGGCCGGTCTCTGTACAGAGTTTTTTGCTCACAGATTTAAATCTTCAACTCTGCCAAAGATGAAACTTTGGGAATGTGTAATATGCCAGGCACAATCGTGGTTCGGAGTCCATGTTAAGTTGCAGCTTCCTCTTGCTGTCCCTCACTGTCTTGGTCACTTATTGCATGGAGTAACAGACTCTGCCCTATGGATACCCTTGTCTCAGGACTGGATATACGAGACCCCTCGGTCAAGATACCTGGTGTCCCAACCAGTGTTCAAACTAAGCACTTCCTGATTACATGTCTGGAGTGTTACTGCTTTGTCAGTCTGCTTGGTGCCACTATGTAGACAACACTATGGCAGCAGGGGACCCCTCAACATTTATAAATAAATACTTAACAACCCAAAACTCTACAATCACAAATATAAGACTACCTATGCAAAACACAGGAGAGACACAAGATAACTGTTTACATGACAATTAGTAATAACAACTCACCAGACAGAACTTAAAAGCAGGATCCCATACAGTACAGTGGCCCATGATATACTGCAACCATGAAAAAGAAAAAACTGTCCCTTTGACAGACTGTGGAGGATTGTGAGACGTTGAGGCTCCCACATTTTCTAGACATTCAGCTAACAAATGGCGATAAGGTTGTCAGCCTTATGCGCTGGCTGCCATTTACCGCCCAGGAAGATACCTGGTACTCATTTCTGGTAGAGGCTGATTCAAGTCCAGAGCCATAGTGCAGCTGAAAGGATTAGGTAAATTGAAAAAATCCACCTCATTGGGAATGACCACAACTAAATTATTTTTATCCTGACTTAATTTCAAGTCTACATTAGATATAAATTTAGAGCCAAACATAATTTGATGCTGGTCACAGTAGCCGAGTGGTCTAAGACATGTACTGTCTGCTCGCTTGGAAACCGGGATCGTGGGTTTGAATCCCACTCAGGGCATGGATGTTTAGTTTGTGTGTGTGCGTTTTTCTGTGTTTGTGTACAGGTAGAGGCCTTGCGACAACCTGATCACCTGCCCAAGAAGTCCTACCGAATGTGTAAGATGTAGAAAAACCGAAGTGAACGGAGAAGTTCATGGAGGGAGGCCTAGGCTCACTGGGGCTGTAGTGCCAAGAGGGGGGGGGAACATATGAGGGTCGTACTGAAAGTCATGAGCAACAATTTTTTGTAAAGTAATGTGCTTTATTATTGACAAACCAATACATCACCTCAATCTACAGACCTTTATTTATTTTTCCACATAATCGCCACTTCTTTGTACACATTTTTCCCAGCATTCTGGTAGTTTGAAAATTCCCCTTCTGTAAAATTCCGTTCCAGTCATTCGAAGACACTGACGCACTGCTTTCTGAATTGCCTCCCTTGTCTCAAAACGTTGTCCGCGCAGCTGATCCTTCACAAATCTGAAAAGATGGTAGTCTGAGGGTGCTAGATCAGGACTATAGGAGGGGTGTGGAAGAACTTCCCATCCCATCTTTGCAGTTGCTTGCAATATGAGGCGAGCGGCATGGGGGCGAGCGTTGTCATGCAGGATGATGATGTTTCGTCCTGGACGTTTATCGCGCAATGCACGACGGAGCTTGTGCAGTGCCTGGACATAACGAGCAGCATTGATGGTTTGCCTGGGTTCCAGGAATTCGGCCAGAATAAACCCCCCTGCATCCCAGAAGACTGTGCCCATCACCTTCGCAGCTGATGGCACTGTCTTTGCCTTCTTTTTTGATGGAAAATGCAAATGGTGCCATTCCATACTCTGCCGTTCCGTTTCAGGCTCGAAATGGTGAAACCAGCTTTCGTCACCTGTCACAATACAATCATCGCCTTCGTGTCGATATCTCTGCAGCAGTTCTGAGGTGATGGCTTTTCGCTGACCTTTGTGGTCTTTGATCAATAACCATGGGACCCAACGAGCGCAAACTTTCCTATAGCCCAAGCTTTCAATCATCTCCTGTACTGCACTGTGCCCTGTTCCAAGTTTTCGGGCTATTGTGTCCACAGTCACATGCCTGTCATCTTGAATGATCTTATCCACACTTTCGTTGTTGCGTTCAGTTGAGGCTGTTTGAGGACGACCGCTCCGAGGCTCATCTTCGATGCTGGTGTTCCCATCTTTAAAATGTTTCACCCATCTTCGAACACTGCTCGCACCCATGCACACACTTCCATAAGCACGCTGAAGTCTCTGGTGAATTTCTGCAGCAGGGATTTCCTCTTTCACAAGAAATTTGATGACAGCACGCTGGCGAAACTACGTATCATTGTCGGCCATTTTGTTAGGAGTGTAACTGGTCACGTGATGCAAGCTATTGATGTCACAAGACACTCAAGGTTAACACAACAGGTGGTTCCACCTATCACCATACTCTCTTTCATCTGCTGTTCCCAGGTTGCATGCAAAAAAAGTTGCTCATGACTTTCGGTATGACCTACATAATTTGATATGGTATATAATTTTAAGACTTAAAAATGTACAACTTTGGATTTTAATTTATTTTAATCTAGGACACAAATACACATCACAAGCATGTGCATTTTTATCACTGGTCTGCAGTCGTCAAAATGATGGATTTGCTAATGATAATGATGACAACAGATCGTATTATGGATCCATATTGAGACAATTCAAGAGCTTGGTTTGATTTTCTTGTAACACCTAATGATGACCTAGCAAAGTCGAAACATGTAGCAACCTTAATAAATAATAGTGATAGGACAGTGTTTATTTTCATCTTCATTTGAAGATATTTATGTTGTATTGATGGACCCATTTACTCATTTACTCAATGCACAACAGGATGCAAACCATAAAAAGTAGCATGCCTCATATTGCTCAAGTAAGTTGTTTATAATTTTTACAGCCGGAGAACAAGTGGTATTGTCTCGCCAAGTGAGCTTCCTGACTCTCCAACCCAGACAGTTCCAGCGAGTCCTCGTCATACAAAGGCACCTGTGGAGTTCCCTAGTAGAACAATGGAAGAGGGAACACAGCCAGTACCAGCAAACAGGCACCAAGGTACTGGCATGCCAATTGCTTGGGATGTGATGCCTCATATTTGTGGTACCTGTGACAGTGCTGTCAGTAGTTCAGGCAACATCCCTTGCAGATCCTGAATCCACAGTTATGCGAGCAGGAATATTATGATGAAAAGGAGAGAGAGAGAAGTGACTGTATTCACAAGACCCTATGCTGCTTCTTATCCTGAGCTACATGAATACAGCTGCACTCTGTTCCTTTAGTGCTTGTCCTAATATTATCCATCTGTTGTAAGGTATCCCTAGTTGTCTTTCTTCCTTTCAGGCTTTCTAGTAAACATTTTGTATGTATTTCTCATATTGCCCATGCATGCTGCATGTTCTGTCCAGGTAATCTTTCTTCTTCTGGTTTGAAATGATTTATTCAGCTTCTAGGGACTAAATCCATGGAACTGAGTCCTTCTGGAGAAGCCATCAGTTGCTCAGCCACGCAAGAATTTCCCAACATTTTATGGAACCTGAAGGTTCGTGACCATGTATACAAGACTCCACCACTGGTCCATATCCTGAGCCAGATGAATCCATTTCATAGGACCCCATTCTATTTCTCTAAGATACACCATAATATTGTTCTCCCATCTATATCTAGGTTTTCATAGTGACCTCCTGGTTTTCCCACCAAATCCCTGTAGGCATTCTTCCTCAACCCCTATGTGTGTTACATGCCCTGTTCATCTCATCGTCCTTGACTTGATCATTCTAATTATACGTTGTGCGTTCAAGTTCTAAGGTCTCCGATTTTTTTTCTCACACAATAATCATACAAAAAAATTGAAACTTCTGTCACTTTTCAACGTAATCTCCCTGCAGCCGTACACATTTTTCACAACGTCGACGCCATGATTCCATGGCCGCTGTGAACGCTTCTGTAGGAGTCTGTTTTGACCACTGGAAAATTGCTGATGCAATAGCGGATTGAAAAACGGCATCCATGTCTCATCCATTGTCACAGTTGATGAAAAGAAAGTCCCATTCATGCCTTCATCATGTGTCAACATCGCCTGGCAAATTGCCATGTGTGCAGCCATGTGGTCATCCGCCAGAATTTCTGGCACCCACCTGGAGGACACTTACCGCATTCGCAGGTCTTCATGCAGGATTTTGTGCACAGATCCCACGGAAATGCCAACTTTGGAGGCGATGTTTTCCACACTCAATTGGCGATCCTCCAAAACAACTTTCTCAACTCGCTCGACCATGTCAGACCAGCTGGTGCGAGGCCGAGATTGTTTTGGTTTGTTGTCACATGACGTTCGGCCTTCTTTGAACTGTCGCACCCACGAACGCACATTTTTCACATTCATGACACCGTCACCACACATCTCACTCAACTGGCGATGAATTTCAATGGGTATCGCACCAAGCAAGTGGAGAAAACGAGTGATTACTCACTGTTCTTGTAACGAAAATGTCGCCATTTTAAGTATCAAAAACACTTCTCACTTTCGCCGCTGCCACTAGAGTTCTGTGTGCCATAGAGTGCTGCCATCTCTGTCACGCATTCACAAAGAGTGCACACGTATTTTAAACTAAACCGCATGTGTCTATCTGCTCCCAGTCCTGAGAAAAAAAATCAGAGACCTTAGAACTTGAACGCCCCTCGTACTTGGAGAAGAGTAGAAGTTATGCAGCTCCTCATTATGCAGTTTTCTTCAATCTCCTACCACTTCATCTCTCTTCAGTACAAATATTCCCCTCAACACCCTGTTCTCAGACACCCTCAGTCTATGTTCCTCCCTTAATGTCAGAGAATCATAACATTCATTTTAGGCCATTTTCAAATACTCATTATCGAAGTACAGAATGCCACACTACCATAATGACATTTCTCTCCATAAGCTTTCACAGTGTATGTGTTATACATAAAACTTCAGCTTTTGAGGTTATGTCTCATCATATTTGTGGAAGCTGTTCCCTTGCAGTATGCATTACTGGCAGACGTTTTCCTTGAGGAAGGCAGTTGCATGTGCACCAAAACGTGGAACAATTTAAATCTATATTGTTGCTGATCCAAGAAAACCAAAAATCAAGGTTGCATACCATAATTATTCTTAGGCTCCCCATTCACTCCCCCACAAAAAAAGTCAGAAGGTTGTGAATATGGAAGATATATCACTATGAGGTTTTCATGTTTTGTGGGATTAAATTTGGAAAATGAATGCGTAATTGGGTGATTATTCCTTTCTTCCCATTCCTTGCATGTTTTTACTTCAGTAGTAGTTAATGATAGTGTCACATGATGGAGTTTGACTATCGATAGGTCTTGGATTGATGACCAGATTTGTCGCAGCCTCTGATACAGTGTGTAACTGCACTTTACAGTTCACTGTTATTCACAGACACACACACACACACACACACACACACATGCACCCACAGATGTGCGCCCATGCACATGCACGCACTAATGTCTGCAGTCACATCTTCACTGCTGTTGCTTGGTACTGCCTTCCAATGGCCAGTGTTCCCCTTTGTTTGAGTTTCTGAACTGTCCCTCGCCTCAGCTACCAGCTTCAGCAACTCTCAACTGATTGTCCGCAGATTCTCTTTCTCGACTGACCAACTGACCTCATCATATATAGCCTTGGCACAGACCGCATAGAAAACATCACTTGCAACAGCTCTTCTGTTGTTGGGGTGTCACATGATGGCTACTGAGCCTTTGTCCAACAATGGGCATGTTTACAGATGCATTCCCTAGCAATATTTGTGCTGGCTTTNTCGAGCAAAATTTAAATGGCCGGCTGAATATATTACTGCCGGAGACACGGCCGCGGAATTTAAATGACCGCGCCAAAGGGTTAAATTTGATATTACATCATGAGCCTACACTCTAAGTAGTGGAACAAAATTTATTTTTATTTTTGTTGATCTGCTATAACCAAACATGAAGCTGTTTAAGGGGTATACAGTATTTAACAAAATACAAATTTATGAACAATTGAGAACAATGGACATTGGTAACTGCCATCAGACTCTTCATACCTGTTGCTATGTTCTGTTGTTGACGTGTTGACTCATAACGTTTCCTTCTGTTTGATTTCTGTACTGTGCTTTACAGTGTGCATTTAAAATCATGTTCCTTGTGCCCTGCAGTAGCTGGACATTCAGGTGCTGTGAAAGGGAGTGTATTTGAAGATAATGTAGTGGCTTTCAAGGAAGAAGACACGCCAGTCGAGTTCTCCAGGGCAACAAGCCTCAGCTCCCTCACCATTGACGATGAACCCAAGATTTCCAACGATGCAATGCTGAAGGTGTGTTTATGTGTTTGTTTTAGAGTTATGCATGTTATGAAGATGGATGGAGTCTTTAATTTGATGTCCTCCAAATTTAATTATATTGGAAATTATAAAAAAGTAAAGGTGTCCTGGTGCTTAATTAATTAAACACTGTGCCATGAAGACATATGTGGGAGTTGAGGTATAGGTCCACCATTCTTGACCTCATCACTGCTACATGGAGATGAGTGGTTGACTTCGCTCCTCAGCCGACTTATTCTGATTTAAGATTTGAGGTTTTCACAGCGGTGACTATGAAGAATGACATCTTGTGGGACGTGGTGCCATGTAGATCTTGTGTGAACCGATGTTTTGGAGGCGATACATTCCTCTGAAACGTTGGTTCACACAAGATCTACCTGGCTCCACATCCCAGAATACAGCATTCTTCATATTTTGATTTAAATTTTAAAATGATAAGAATTGTAATGTGCATACCAAATTTGAGGTTCTGACGCATGTGAATATGAGAATTTCTGTCTTCTTGGATGAAACACAGTGTGACCTGGTGGGAAGTCACAAGTGTTTTGGAAGAAGTTGCTATGTCAGTCTTCTGGGTATATCCTGAAATTGGAGGCAGCATGTCCAACTAAAATTTCGGTACCCATGTACCAGACTACACTGCATCGTGTCCAAGAAGGCTGTAATCTCAATACATGCTTCTGTTGGAGCCTTAAGTCTCATGTTTATGTTTCTGAACATAGGAAGTGGTGGGGAGACCCTCATCTCATGCCCGTTCGAGCAATTTTCCAGCAGGAATTCATCATGTGGTACGACTGGAACTGGTTGGAACAGAGCGGGAGGATGGCATGGAGAAACAGGACGTGGAGAAGGAGAAGCGCGGAGAGTTGGCGGACTGCTGCGAACTGGCTCCTGTCAGCGAAGGGGAAGAAGAGAATGATGAGGACATGCTGGCCGCCTGCATCAACGTTGGCATGCAGAACAGCAGGTACCTACAGTAAATTCCTAGAGGATTTCAATGAGATATAGTTATACTTCTGCATCAGGGATTTATGAAGTTGTTACTCTTGTGATGAATAGTTTGAATCTATTTATGGCTTATTTATAACAACCCTGTCATCAGCTTGGATTATATAGCATCAGGTGGTAAGATAATGGCTGATGAATTGGATAGGTTTGGGAAAGAAATGGTCTTTTTCTTATTGTAGAAAAAATCTTAGAAATATCTGGCATGCAGCTGCATAAGAAAGACACATCATAAGACACAGTATATACACAATTAAAACATAAGAAGAATGACTCCCATAATGGATGAATGGCGTTACACACGAGTTTGATATACGACATGTAAGATGATTGATCTTAACAAGTTTTATTATATAAATTATATTATTGAACAACGATGAACACACATTTTATATAATTTTATAAACTGACACTTGATGGCGGGCAGTGCAATGGTTTAACGTGATTGATACACCTGGGGATGGCAGAATGATGCCGAAACATGTAGTGTGAAGTGAAAAGTGAAATTGTATGCACTAAAAGATGGTAAATATATACACATTATGGATATCTTATTTTATAATAGCGGTTATCCAGCGATTCTTAATATAGATCTTAACTTAAATCTGAGAGTATACTGTTAATAATCAGTACAATTACTTCTTTTACTTTTCTTACATATATATTTTATATAAATATAGGAATGTTGTTTATGAAGTAACAGACACCTTGCAGAAATCTTTTTTCTTCTAGCCTTAAGAGCTCTATAACTGACTTTGGGTATTCTTTTTTGCTGTTCTCAGACAATGGTCATGGCATAAAAATTATTAACGCCATCCAGTGTGATTGATGAATGTTATGATTTTTAATCTTTCATCCTTTAAATGTTTCGGTTGGTGCAACCATCTTCAGAAGGACATTATCAATACGTACAAAGACTACTATTACAATGTCATAGATATAAAAAATTATCCTTTAACAATTACTCAGATGTGTATGTATTTGTTAAAACATTTATAAATTATTATAAGTAGTCTATTTACAAATTATTGTTTAAAAACATTTTTGTTAAAATCTAGAACCAATTTGGTTTGTGTCCTTTATACTTCATCTCTTTAAACAAGGATGAATGTATGCCACATCGTGGTTCCGTTGTTTGAGGAATAGGATTCTTTAGTATCGTCCAGTTGTTCAGGCCATGCTGTGTTGTCATGGCCTGATGTGGGTTACTTTCATGCCATGTGACTTGAAACACTGCAGGGAAAACTATGAAAAGCCTCAATCTGGAATTGCCAGTCCAGTTCAGACAAGGAGTGCTGCTCATTTGACTGTGATATTCAGTAGCACTATGAAGATTTCAGTTGTCTAGTAAGCGGGGAGCAGGAAAACCTGTGGACCTGTTTTGGCCCATCCATCCAGCTTCTGCTTTAAAGGTCATCACCTGGTTTCTTGATTCATGTGGTTTGTAATTCTGTAATATCTCTGAAGGCCAGTCTCTTTGTGTTCTGTCAAGATGCTGAATCTGTATGGATTTATATTTTAAAACTTTTGTCCAGTATGGGTTGTGTTTTTAATTCCTTGTATATGTCTTCACTTCTTTTGGTCCAGCTAAGTCTGTTTCACCATTTATGTCATATTTTTTTCCATCAGCTGCAGTTCTGGTTCCGTGTTTTGAATATTGCAGTGAAAATAACATATACAGTCACTGTTAATTTGTCGGACATTCAGATTAGAGTAATCTTCTTTAGTTATTGGTTCTCATCATAAGGCTTGGACAGATCACTGTGTTGTACAGGAAATTTCTTTTGTTTACTTTTGCAGACATGATATTGGTGTCTGTTCAGTCATGATATCAGTCACAGAATACTATAATTGTGAATGTCAGTTGTTGTTTCATTCACAGTTGTACAAATTTTTGCTAAAAGCTCTGAAAGGGTGAAAATTTCTTATATTAAATGTGGGTTACTAATTAAATTGGGGTTCACTGAGTATGGAAAATAATACATTATGTTATTTTTATTTGGTCTGACTGGGACCAGAAAGAATATTCACTAAATACAAGAACACCAGATGTGGAATTCACAGTAATCTTCTTTGAATATTGGAATCCTCATTGGCTGCAGGAACTCAGGTAGACACTCACATAGAATATTTATGTTACAGTTCTGTCAACAATGCAACCACTTTATTCCATAGAATTTTCACTTTTTACAACACGTGCAACATTTTAACAATTTTAATGGAATTTTAGTTAATTGGAATAGAAAATGAGTCAGTGTATGGTGAATTGACTACTGTTAGCTGGATCATAATCACAACATTAATATAGAACAGTGCAGCTACACATGAAATATATGACTGATATTCAATGCAGGTAACGGTTTTGGCGAGTTGAAGTACCTGATGATGGCCGGTTGGGGCTGAAACATGTTGTAAAAAGTGAAAATTCTAAGGAATAAAATGGTTGCATTGTTGATGAACTATAATATAAATGTTCTATGTGCATGTTATAGAAATGCAACAGGATGCTTAAATACAATACTCAGGTATATCTTTCCAGATAAATATCACACATGGCCTTATCTTATCTATGTGAACACATTGATACTGACTATGATTGTGGAAGTTGATAATATAGAAGGTCTGTTTCCTTATATTAGGCTACGGCAATGTCAGTACAGTTGTCAAAACACAAGCAAGACCGCTCCAGTCCGGCCCACAAATGTTAGCAGATTCCAGGCCTCACCAGTTCAGTCACCAGGGTTGCGTAGTGGACGCCCCAGTGGCATCCCTGTTAAAACAACTGCCAACAGCAGCTCGAGACAGGCGAAAGTAATGCAGCTGAAGCAACAAGAAGGGGCTACGGGAACCGTGGTCAAACCCCTGAACTACATGGTTGTAAGTCTGATATGCCATTCACAGTTATAAACGTCATGAAATGTTGAAAGGGAAAGAACAGTGGGTATGAAATTAAGATATAAATTTGACTTTCTCTGTTATGCACATTTAATTTGATGTTATCACACCAGTGACTTGAAGAATGCGTTCTTCTGGGTTGTAACTCCTATTTCGGAGAAAGCCAGATGTTTTGGGAGAACATATTGCATCCGTCTTATGGGCTGAAGAATAAGCCAAGCGCGGAACCAGCAAAAGCAGGCTGAACATTTCCTTGTGGTCTCACCCTTCCAGAAGAAAGGAAAAATAAAACATTACTTTATATATTGTCATGTGTTTAGTGGTATGTGTGACGAAAATGATGGATTCTAGTTTGGATGATTGGATTTATTATCACCTTGGTTATAAGCTCTGCTAATCACATTTAATTACAGCGTTATCTCTGGTTCCACGCTTTATAATTCACTGTTACATACACGTGCTGGTCCTCTCCTGGTAATGCAACTAAAACACAGGAATAAGCGCTTTAAATCGCTTAAAATATTACACATGAATAAAGTTTTCTAATCACACACAAAGTCTTCACATGACGAACTTTCTTTGGCTGTCTTCCACCAAGAACTCTCTTGAATGGAACTGCACGTAAAACTCTCTCACTGTCACATAAACAATCTGTCACTTGAACACTGAAATCTGTTCTGTATGGAATCTCATTATTAGCCTCTGCACTGACCATGCACAGAAAACCCAGTTCTGTTGTTGTAGAGGAGTGTTTATCATGATGTTGCATAGCAGCACTCTCGCGCAGACTCCATAGAGTCACGTGACAGCCATCTCACCAGGCTGTTGGCATGCTGACTGTTGCCTAGCAATGAACTATAAACATTCTTCCTATCGTTGAGGGTGCTTACACGACTGAAGGTTGTTGCCTGGCAACACGCTGGCCATCCACGTTACAATACTCTTACTCAATGCTTTTGTTAAAATAAGTGGCATAAAGACAACCGAAATTTCAACAGGAAATTGCTTCAGGTACCAGTGTCAGCCAGTACATAAGCAGGAAGGAGCTAGAGGAAAGCATGAAGGAAAGAGACCAATTCAAAAACCTAGCTATAGATGGGAGGATAATGTATTAAAATGGATCTTAAAGGAATAGTGTGGGTGGGTGTGGAGTGGATTCATCTGGGTAGGGAGCAGTGGATTGGGGGGGGGGCTCTTGTGAACATATAATGACCTTTAGTATCTATACAATTCTAGGAATATCTGGGCTAGGTGAGCAACTATTAGCTTCTCAAGAGGGACTTTGCTGCATATGGTTATTTATGAACATAATACTTGGTCAAACTGTGCATACTGCACTGTAATTGGCCCTTGCATACCTAATACCACTGGAGGGACAAACTTCATAGAATAACAGCATGCTGTAAGTAGTGCTGCTACCTTTTGGACATGGTCTGAACTTTTCTTTTCCATAAAACAAAGATGTGCAGTATGAACCCTAGCATACATTGCACTGCCATTTTGTACTGCTGTCTGCCCATATTCATAAGTACTTTCTTATACACACAATGACAGACTCACTGAGTGAGTCTGCTGGTATGTCTGCCAGCTCGAAAAAGCGCTGGCTGCAAGTGCCCAGGAGAGGGATCAGAGAGCTATGTTGTAACGTTTTGTTTCTCTTCACATGAACCACACAGTTGTGCGTTCTGGCATTCTTATATATTTTAGGAATCACTGAAGATAGTTTTATAAAATTTTCAGAAGGCATTACAAGTAAGCTAAACTTTCATGCAGTAGAACATATCACTCATTTCCAGGCACCACAGTGTACTAGGTAGCACCATTTTGAAGCTATTAAGCAGCTATTTTGAAGGCGCAGATCATTCATCATAGCTCCTGTGAAATCATTGGATTGTAAGAAACAGCTACAATAGTGAAAGCAATTTTTGGAGGAATAATATATCAGTTAGTCTGATTTTCTACCAAGAGATGGCAGAGCAATGATGATTTTTCAGCGAACTTGCAGTTAGCGAGAACACACTTGGGCCACTGCCAATAGTGTATCTCACAGGCTTGCAAGTATATACTTCTCATATGTTAGAGTGAATATAGATGGGGTTTGGATTGGTAATCGGATTTATTGAACTTTTACAATTCGAAACTACATGTAAGGATTATGCTCTCATTGTTCTACACACTTCTCAAATCACTATAGGACAAACTACCTCTTCTGAGTCTGTCACAGTTGTCACTAGGTGTTGCTTGATAGCGGATTCCAATGGCGGACATTCCCCTTCCTGTGGGTTCCTGAACTGTCCCCAGCCTCAGCTGCCAGCTTCTCACAGAAACAGCTCACAACAACTCAACTGCAGCAGTCCTATAACTAACTCACTCACCAACCAACTCACTCCATTCAGCTCCTAATTGGCCTGTTTATAACATCTACATGGACTGCACACAAAACATGATGCAGTTGTTGCCATGCTGACATGTTTGTTTTTGGAGCTGTTACTTAGCATCAGCTTTTGTATAGTTTCTTAGTTGTTGCTTAGCAACTGGCCTACATACCACAATATTTACTATCTCATGGTACTGTGAATCATGTTTTTTAGGTACCAGGAGGTGCATGTGAAGACGCTGTCCAAACTTACTGCACAGAAGGAACTCCAGCTAACATATCACATGCCGGGTCACACTCTGACCTCTCTGTCCTGTCACTTGTTGGTGACGGAGATGAGACTGAGGCTCAGAAGGAGGAGGCCCGCTTAGAGGGAGTGAATGAAGTGGAGGAGCCTGATGGAGAAGTTGAAAGGCCAGAACTCTCTGATGACAGTTCCAACTTCTCAGGCGATAATGACAATATACTTGCCGAATGTATTCAGTCTGGAATGCCTAAGGTGAGTGGTGATCCTCACCATATTTATTTAGCCTCTAAACATTAAAACTGAATTGTAACAAAATGTAATTGATTGGGATTTGTGGTTCTCTGCTATGGTGAATGTTATGACGATGGTCTTCTGGGATGTGACACTGTGAGGTATGGTAGGTAGAGACCAGTGTTTTAGGGGACTTCTGCCCAGAATGTTGAAGCAGTTCTTGCAAAATGTTGGTACTGTCTACAAGACTTCATGGCATCACATTCCAGAAGAACATAAACAGGTTGGTTAATAACAACAGTTCGATTTGTTGTATGCATAATAATGATAATAACAGTAAGAATATGGGGGCATGCAGTAGCATAGTTAGTTGAGGCACTATGCTACAAGCTGGAAGGTCATGGGTTCAAGTCCCAATGAGGTGGATTTTTTCAGATAATCCTTCCAGCCGTACTATGGCCCTGGGGTCAACTTGGCCTGTAACAGAAATGAGTACCAGGAGACTTACTGGGGAGTAAAGGGCGGCCGGTGGGTAAGACTCACAATCTCACCGCCATCTGTGAGCCGATTATCTAGAACAGGCATGTCAAACTCAACTTGTGCAGAGGGCCACCTCAGCCGTGTAAATAATAGTCCAGGGCTGCACTTCAAAATAGAAATATACATTAGATTTTGATACAAGGAAATTTAATTCTATTCATTATTTAGGAATAATTTCAATATAATTACCTAAAGTCACATATCTTACAGTTTTAAAAAGCAAGAGAATGCCATTTTTGACAAGTATCAAACAGCTTTTCAATATATAAAAAGAGAGATTACACAAGAACTTATGTTAGAAATAGAAAAACATTGAATTTCCTGCAGCCTGCTAATTTAGTATGTCTGCATGAGACTTCTTGTCTTCTGGTCTGTTGGAAAATTGTCTTTACAAAAAATATTTCTACTAAAATTTTAATATTGATTTCAATATCAATTCACTCTAAAAGTTGAGGGGCCGTACTCTGTGGCTATGGAGGCCGCATGTTTGACACGGCTGGTCTAGAAGATGTGGGAGCCTCGGCCTCTCACACCCCTATGGGTCTTCACAGCTTGTTACAATGATAGCTTTACATTAAGAATATGGACTAGAATTGTAGATGTATGGAGAAATGAATTCTGGAAAGAAGTGAACAACCTGACAAATGTCTGTTCAGTGTAGCTTTGTCATTCACGAATGTAATGTGGAATGATTCAGTTCTTAAAGTTGGGTCTAAAATGAAATGCTTTGCCTTTATCTGGGCACATTTACAAACCCACGGAGTGGCAATGAAGTTGACCTGGGTCAACCCTCTGCATGTATGAAAGAGCTTCAGAACCTCTGGAAGACCATGATTTATTTAAACCGTCTTGCAGTGCATACACTCATCTATCTCCTTCTCTCACCCGCACTACATGTTTCGGCACAAAAATGCCATCTTCAGGTGCTTACTCAATCCACGCCAAACTAGTTCATTGCATGCCTTGTCCTCACATTAAAATAACTAAAATATATATCTATCATATACATTGACAAATGTCAAACGTTAAAAATATTAAAATTGTTCCGGATTCCTCATCTCTACGTCGCATCTCACTACGCCAGTCACGCCCATCCTCCTCTGTTGGAGCACTCCTTCACTATCGTGTGTGTCTCTGTAATGTGAATTTTTTTTATTCATTAATACCATGTTCCATATTTTATTTATTACTTGTGGTATTATTAGGGGCAATACTTGAACACATTGGAGAACTACCATATATATAGAACGACAAAGCAAAACACACACATGAATAATATAAATAAAGAAATATATAACCCAATATACCANGTTTGACATTTGTCAATGTATATGATAGATATATATTTTAGTTATTTTAATGTGAGGACAAGGCATGCAATGAACTAGTTTGGCGTGGATTGAGTAAGCACCTGAAGATGGCATTTTTGTGCCGAAACATGTAGTGCGGGTGAGAGAAGGAGATAGATGAGTGTATGCACTGCAAGACGGTTTAAATAAATCATGGACTTAAATCAGTGCAACAGGACGCTAAAATATAACCTCTGGAAGAGTTTTCATGATACTTGATACCTGGGGAATATTATGAAAAGTTGTGCCAGTTCAGTTTTCATTTACATCAAACATGTTAAAGATAACCAGGGCCCGGATTTTTATGACCTGAAAATATTTAAAAAATGACCGAAAAAATCCAGAAAAATGACCTAAAATATGACCCAGAAATGTAATATGTCAGAATATCTACTAATTATTCTAAAATGTATTTTTAATCTTTATTAACACTGAACTCATGTTTACTCTTTTAAGTTTGTCCTCATTTTTATGTTGAAAATTAAGCAATATTGATTGAATTTGAAGTTAAATGTTTTAATACGATTTTTTCTATTGTGTTCTATTAGAACGCTTATCAAATGTACACATACGGTATGTATTCCGGCATTTAAGTCTTACCTCATTCAGAGTTGCAATAGATGACAGTCAACATGTGGAGATTCTCGAAAGTGAGAGAGCGCCTGTTGTCCGACAGCACATTCTTGTACTTGGAGAAACTCCTTTCACATCTGCAGACACAATGGGAGCGTACTTGAAGTGTACAAAATCACTAGGAGTAAGTTCTTCTTCACTACTGAAAGTGCTGAAGGACTCTCCTGACAGAATTTGAGAAATGCTGCATAATGTTTCATAACCTGAGTTTTATCCAGAACACTTTTCATTTTTCTTGACACCATTTTACCAATGTCCCCTGACACTTTCTCCAAATCACTGGCTATTTTTTTCACTAGAGCAAGTGAATCTTCCAACGTTGCTCCTTTCTCCTGCAAGCATTGGATTCCTTCTGTCAAGGAACTGAAATTTGCCTTCATGAAGGCCAGCTGTCCTTCCATCTCAAAGCACGAGAACTGTTCCTGAGCAGCTTCAGTTGCCCTCGCATCCTCCGTCTTCATTGAATCTACAGTGTTTTTCACTACCTGAAAATGATCGCAACAGTAAATTGCAGCATCAATCCACATTCCCCACCTTGTGATGATGGGTTCTGGGGGCAGTGGAACACCAGGAGCCATAGACTTAAAATGCATTTTACGAGCTGGAGCCTTGACAAAAATCTTTGTCCCCAACTTAAGAGCATCCACTTGAAATTTTGATCTCACTTCCTCCATCACTCTATGCAGTGCATGAGCTAGGCAAGTAACGTGCACCAATTTCATATAAAACGACTTTATTGACTTGTGTGCTTTTACAATATATGGGGCTGCGTCGGTCACAAAAAGCAAGACGTGTCATATACCATCTGGCCACAGTAGAAACATCGACCTGTCGAAGAGTTTACAAATTGTGGAATGATTAACGGATTCTAGCACCTCACTCATAAGCAGAAACACTTAACCTGGTCCGCCAATTTCCAAGGTTCCAGTGATGACGTTTGCCATGTAGCGAGCCTCTATATCATAGGTCTCGTCAATGGAAACAAAAATCTTCGTACCATGCATTTTATTCCTAATCATTTCCAGGATACTGTTGTAGCACTGGGAAAGGAAGTTCTTCCTGAGTGTGGATTCATCCGGGATGGAACGACAACAGTTTTCTTCCAGAAAATTTTTCAGTTTTCCATTGTTTAGAGCCAAAAACGGAATGTTTGTGGACGCCAGAGCATCACACAGATCTCTGAAAAAATTCGATGACTTATTTCCACCTTCAGATGAACACTGTTGCAGTAACATTTGCACAGGTTTCTTTTTGTTCGAAATTTGCGCTGCTTGTATATGCTTGTCGTGGCCGATATGTTGTTGTACCATGAATCGTTCATCTGCTGCTACTTTTGTGTCACACATCTTCAGTATAAAATGTCACCATCAGTTAAAAATATATCATCTCCAAACTCAGCTACAAATTGCTTTCAATGACACAATTTAGTTGGCTTTGCTTTTGGCATCATGATAAAATTAATCACTCTAGCGCAACACAGAACTGAAGTTTTCTCACCAAGAGCCTTTCGTCAACTGTATCTTTATCTGTACGGTCAAGGGCGAGGAACTGAAGACAGAAGGAGTTTTATTGAACAACAATGTCATATGAAGCAAGAGATTCTGACTAGAAATATGTGTAACTAAGCAAATTGCTTTGTACAAAGAGCCGCAGTGTGAGTAGTCTTCGCCGTACCCTGTTTTATGATGTGTATTGTCAGCACTTCCGCGAAACGAACGGAAAGTATGGGCAAGGATTGCAACCTGTTATTGTATACTATGGCCTTTGTAGAGAGCACTTAGGAGAAAGAGAAAGAACACTTCGCTTCCATATTATTGACATTTCAGAAAACATATGAAGAAAAATTCCCGAAAATGGCCAAAAATGACAAGAAATACCCTTAAAAGTCCAAAAATTTACTAAAAAATTACCTCCAAAATGAAAAAAATGACCTTAAACCTAAAAATGTCAAAAAATGACGAAAAATTACCTATAAAATTTACATTTCTATAACCAGCAGCTCATATCCGAGATTTATGTACTTAAGAGCGTCGCATAGGATATAAGAAAAAAAAAATGACATGTCATCAAAATCCGGGCCCTGAAGATAACACTACATTAAGACCTTTATGCTTTTCTGTGCTTGTCTTGCGAAGTATTGTCATGTGATATTAGGGGTGTGACTCTTACACAGGGGTTTGGATTGGATGATTGGATTTATTGCACTTATACACTTGACTCATAACTACAAGTAGTACAATGCTCTTGCAGATCTACACACTTTACAGTTGACCATTATGCACACACTAGGATTCTCAGTCTTCATTAGTTGTATCCTGCCAACTGATTTCAACACAGTCTCACTGTAACAGCAGCACACATGAAGTCTTCTTTGCACAGCCTAATGCCTTTCTTGCCATCTCTTCTTATTCAACTGCTGCCACAAGAGACACATTCACTTCTGTCAGCTGAGTCTGAGACTTGTGTTACGACTGACGGTCGGTCGGCCAGTCTATCTTGGAATAAAGAACCCATCTTGGGCTTATGACCAGATTTTTGTTACTGTCAGACAGTTGTGTGTTTGTTCTTGTGGGGTGCTTTCTCCGATGAGAGGATGGATCTATCGATTACAATTGCTGCTAGCCCTCGCCAGTGCAGTCATTCTCAGATCTGAGTCCTGTGGGATTCAACCATATTTTACTATCTCAGATTCAACACTTCCCTTTTCATTGCCTCCTACGACTCCCAAGGCTATGGTGAAGATTTGACCTGCCTGACCTGGGATCCTTGTTATAGTCTCAGGGTGGATCCAACAGAAAACACCATTTCCATCTTTATAGCTCAGCAATACCAAGAGTGTCACTTGTTTATTTGTTGCCATGGGAACTTGTTTACCAAGTTGTTGCCTATTAGTGAATGTCTGCTTTGGCTCTGCTATTCTTTCAGGCGTCATGTCACGGTATTCATCAGTGAGATAAAAGTTTTGATCAAAAAGTTGTAGAGAAATGTGAAACACATATTTCATGCCCAATAAATGTTAGTTTGTTTTAGATAACTGAAGGAAAGTGATGTTATGATTATGTTTTTGAACTTTAATTTTCAGCAATCTAACATGGCCACTAGAACAGTCAGGGCATGATGCTAACCACTCACCTGTGTCTAGTGTCACATATTAAGAAAGACTGGAGCTATGCCTCCACTTCCCTATATGTCACTGCTGGCATGGCACTTAGTTAAGTACAGGGCACCTATACTTTGAATTCAAATGTTTTCCGAATTTTGAAGAAGTATATTATGATTTTAAATAATGAGAATATGCTTCTAGGCTCGTCAGGCAATAAGAAGAATTGTGGCCCAGCCTGCAAGCGTTAGTAATTCTTCATCATCAGAACTGCCTTCCCAGCCACAGAAAAAGATACCAACTGTTGTTCCGGGAGTTACTGTATCCGTTCTCCCTACACATCACCCTGTTGCAACAACTTACAAGCCACCATCCCACCATCTGTGCGGCCTGTCTCACTCGTCACCACATTCCACTAACAAGAAGCCGTCAGTGCTACCATGCTCTCCTCGTCCGAAAGCAGCGGATCAGCGTAAGCTGGCAGCTCAAGATGAAACAGGGAAATCGCAGAACTTGAGGACACCAAAATCAAAATTCAGTGGCACATTGCAGGGGTCAAATGTGCTGCCACATTGCTTACCAGCAAGGGATGAAGTGGAAACGTACGCTACTGAGGGAAGTCCCAGTACGTTCTCCATCCGCTCATCGCTTAGTGACTTGACTGTTAACTCTTCTGATGGGTGTGCAGCCAGTTTACAGAGGTTAGTGTGTAACTATGAGGGAGAGTCAGTAAGTAGGTCACAAATGGAAGTAAAACAGCTGTAATGGACGTAATAGGTTTTATGTGTGTATCACTAGGTAGTAGCACAGTCCAGCTATATGACAGTCCAGGTAGCAGACATGCATGCGCGTGTTCGGGGGCTGACTTTGGTAGTCAAAGTGGTGACATTGCTTGAGAAGTATACTGCCAAAGAGCAGAGTTTTGTTGTGTATTTTTTTGTGGGCAGAAGGGGTCAATGCAAAGAATATTCATAAAGCATGTTTATCATATAAAATGGTTCACAACTGGGTCAACGAGTTCTCTCAAAGATGAAGGGCTTGAAATGGAGGTGAGGAAGTGGCTAAGACAACAATCAAAAGACTCCTATACTGTGGGTTTTGGCACCCTGGTAAAGCGATAGGACAAGTGTATCAGTGCTAATGGAGGATATATTGAGAAGTAAATGTTTATTCCAGGTTCGAATATCATGTCATGTGTTCCTGCCTTTCCAGCTCTTTCTTGGTTGTTCTTCCCTTTTGGTTGATAATCATGGGCTTCTGTGGTACTTGTAAGCCATACTCACACGGTTTTTTATCATTTGTAGCAGAGAAGTCTATGATAGATCAAAACCATTGTCATCCATTAATATATAATAAGGAACCAGAGGTACGCTGTGGTTAAAACCGCGTGTTAGATGAAAATCGTCAAGAAGTCTACAGACCTAATCTGAACTGAAGTCGCACCTTTGCCAAAAATTTGACCTGCAGTTCTCTTATCAGCAGTGAACTTAAACCCACGACCTTCCAGCTTGTAGCATAGTGCCTCAACCAACTATGCTACTGCATGCCCCATTTGTTGTACTCTGGTGTACATTAATAGGAATAATGAATACATCAAAAAGAAGTTCCAACTGAATTTCAAGTTGGTTATGTGAAGAAGGAAAATGTAATCATCCTCTGTTTAGAAGGGGAACAGATTATTATATTACTATGTAGGGAAGTCAAAATTATCTGCACTCTTGGTTTTCCAATTTATATACACAAAAGTTAGGGGTTGAACAGGTACGTAATTTTTCTACAGTCTCTTTCCTTTTCGATGCACTTGGTCCAGTGGTCCACAAGCTTGCGTATTCCCTCCAAGAAGAAGGTATCTGGTTGGTCACACAACCATTTATGCCCTGCTTTCCGACGACCTCATAAAGCATCTTTGTGTGGTCCAAAGAGATGATAGTTGGAAGGGGTGAGATCTGGGCTGTAGGCAGGGTGTTCCAGCATCTTGAAACCCAAATGGTTAATGGTTTCAACGGTCTGGCCGGCCATGTGTGGGCATGCATTGTCATGCAACAACAACACTTTCTTCGACAATAGGCCTTGGTGTTTGGTGTGAACTGCTGGCTTCAGATTGTTGGCCAGCAAATCACTGTGTTTTGCAGTGTTTATCGTACACCCTTTTTCCAGGTAGTCTTCCAGTATAGGCCCTTTCCCACGGAAGATTGAGTCTTGAATTTCTTGTCCGGCCACTTTTAAACTTCTTGATCCACTCATTCACACTTCTATGTGGTAGAGCACTGTCCCCATATTGTGTTGAAAGCCTCTGATGAATTTCAGCCCCTGACACACCTTCCAACCAGAGAAATTGGATCCCACTTCTTTGTTCCTCCTTGGTACACACTGCTAGTGGAGAGACCATGTTTACACTGTCACAGCATCAAGGAAAATAATGCGATCAAGGTCAAACTTCGATCACATGACCACAGTAGTACCAACTCTAAGTATGCAGGCGCAGAAGGCAATGTGACAAACCTGAAGATGTGTTATGGTGAAAGTTTGGATAATTTCTGACTTTCCCTCGTAGATACTTCTGCAGTTCTGATTAAGAATCTCTGGGTTTCTGTGCTTACACATGTGCATACCATGAATTAAAAGGTGCGGTTAAAATCTCAAGAACAAGTGTGAATGTACCCAGACTGTTGTGGCATCTGTCCATACACACAAAATTATCTCCACAGGTAGGATCACAACAGTCCAAAACTGTCAGGAAGACTATGTGTATTGTTACCTAATTCTGTTGCTTCTGGACATGATATCCCATTCCTGTCTACCAAACTGTACAGCATCTCAAGAAGACTGTGATCTTATCATTCACTGCTGTGAGAGGTCATCCGGTTTAAGTGATAATCCAGATTACTGATGAAAAAGATAACCCTAAAAGAATAAGAAAGAAACTTAGGTAGTGCTGATGAAAATAAATAAAAAAATATCACTGTAGAGTCTTTATTTAAAAACTATAAAGAGGCAAGAAGCTGAAATCCAGGGTCTCCTTCATCCAGCTGAAGCCAATCTTGGATATTTTCTTGCATGGTTTCAGTCTCTCCAGCTGCCCTCAACACAGTCTGAAAGTCGTCTTGCTTTAGTCCTTGCTACTAAATCCCATGTGCCTTTTATTACTCAACTGCAATCAGAATTATTATTTTTTTTTCATATTTCAGTACAGATTAACTGTAATTGGATTAGTTGAGGGTTTACTGTGATTTTAAGGTTTTGCTCAAATTAAATTAATTCTTAAGAAATTATGTTACTGAAAAATGTAAGCCAAAATTGCATAAGTTGGGGAATGCGTGTAGCCTATCATGTGGCAGATCTATTTGAACACTGTTGTTAAGCTGTGAACAGTGTATTTCTGATAGAACGTGTTACAACATATGAACTAGAATTTGAACTTGTTGGTAGGTACTGTCAGTTGATAAATAATGATATTTGAAAATGTGATTAGTTGATATAGCTTACTTTCTCACTCTATAAGCAGCAAAATACCTGGCCAGAAAAGAAGCCTGAAATCTAAAGGTGCTCCCTGGTCAGGGTTACTGCACACCTAGGGGGGTGGGGGCCAAAGAAACTGAGAAAAACCTGCTTTGATACCACTTTGTCCCTTACATGAAGTCATCAGGGACTGATCCCAAGGTTTCACAGTGAGATGTGTGCATTAAATTTCCTGAGTTGCGCCATGGCTGCAGGTTAGTTGCTGTGAGTTATAACAGTGTTCTTGTTAAATTATTTGATAGTAAAATTCGTTGAGATTATACAGTTTGGTAAGCAGAGAATGAGAAGGAAGCAGGAACGAGACTGCACTAGATGTTTTCTCAACTCATCACACCTCACTGATAAAGCACAGGTTCACCACAGTAGATGCTGCTGTAGTTTCAAATGCCTGTATTTAATGATATATTGCATTTACAGAAGCGGTTCTGATATCAAAACGGTAATATGTGGGAGAGTTTGTTCACATGAGGACATAGTGATGTAATCTCCATGCATCCAGTATCATTTGCAGAAACTTTTTTTTAACTTAGCATAACTGCAGGAAGTGTGCCTTAAGGGTGGTACTTTCCACAATGGCTTTTCAATTCTTCCTTCATTTCTGCAACTTGCAATGGGTATCACTACATTCTGGCCATGTTTTAATGATCCCTCATATCAACATTCAGTGCTGCCCAACTCAGAACAGCATTGGCCGACAGTCATGTGTTTGCCAGGCAATTTCCCAACTACCTGCTATGCCCTTAAGTCACTTGATAGTTCTTTCTGTTGCTAGACATCCACATGTGTACTCTTGAGTGCTGCAAGCTTGTGACAGTGTGCTTTGAAGTTTAGAGTTGAATTGAAGATCTGATAAGAGTGATCGAACATTTCACCTGGACAGAGACTTGCCACATCACAGACTCCCATATGTGTGTGCTGTATTAATTCATTAATTTCACTATAACTGTTACATTATTTTTTGGTGATTGTGTGTAGATATTGTAACATGACAGCTAAAAACCAGGATAGTGTTAAAAAAAAAGGTAGCAATTGCTAGGCAGTTGCTCAGTAGACATGCTTTCATGGCAACACATGCAACAATAAAAGAAACGTTGGAAACAATATTTTCTATGCGATCTCTGCCAAGGTGAATGATGTAAGTTAGTGAGTTGTGAGATGGCTGCCATCCGGTAAGGACCTTAGCACAGAAGCAGAGGAATACTCATTGTTGGGAGCCAATACCTAGCAACGACAAGTGAAGACTATAACAGGCCGAGACTTAGTGTGTGCTGTAGTTATTTGTAAAGTGTGTAGATTAATGAGAGTGTTATAATGATCTATAATTACGAAATATAAGTGTTCAATAAATCCAATTACCAATCCAGACCCCATGTCTAGCCACCAACACGTGATAATATGTTTGTCTTGTTAAATATCTTTCATGTGATGCTAACACAGGTTTTATCCACAGGTCGCCATACCAGCACCCACTTCCTGGAGAAACAGCACGTGACATTCCTATAGGCTTTAATGCAGAAGATACCTCACTTGAGGTTTCTCTTGCTGCCTCTCTAAGTCCTCTCAGGGTAACGGAGGAAGATGATGATGGTAAGAGCTGCTACCTTTGTGTTGTCATATTTGTGAAGTTGTTAAATTGTATTTTTATAGAATATATTTACAAGTAATGTTATCACTGTGCTTAAACACTGCGCCATGAAGGAATGGCAGACTGGAGGTATTGCTCCACAGATTCTGAACCTCACTTCTAGATGGAAGTTATTAGTCAATTTCATGCTTCAGTTATTTAATACCTCTGGAGAGTGAGCCTCACAGTGCCCACTGTAGGCAACTGGATGGGTCCTGGAGCTTGTATGGACATCATTGTAATGAAAGGAAAGGTTTTTGCCCCTGCTGCAAATTCAGTGATTCTAGCACACAGCCTGGTCACTATAGTGACTGAGTTCTTCCCCCTCCCCCATCTTCATATTATGTCATGTACATAGTTAATAACAGCAGAATGTATGAATGAATTAGACTATGTAATGGGAAGAATAGGACAAATGGCTTGAAACTCCTGTGATCTGACAGGGAGAATCTGGTCTGTATAATGAATTCTTTGTTCAGTGTAAATAATATAAAAGATTATTAACACCATCCAATGTGATTGATAAATGTCGTGTTTTTTAATCTTTCATCCTTTACTTGTTTCGGTCAGAGTGACCATCTTCAGAAGGAAATTATTGATACTTACAGAAACTACTCTTACAATGTCATTGGTCATTATCAATACATACAGACACTACTATTACAGTGTCATATATATAAAATATTATCCTTTAACAATTACTGTGGTGTGCATGGATTTGTTAAAATCTAGAACCAATTTGGTTCATCTTTTATACTTCTTCTGTAGTGTATGTATTAAGAATGACCAGTGACATTGTAATAGTAGTTTCCGTATGTATCGATAATGTCCTTCTGAAGATGGTTGCACCAACTGAAACAAGTAAAGTATGAAAGATTAAAAAAACACAACATTCATCAACCAAACTGGATGGCGTTAATAATCTTTTGTACTGTTGCTAGTGTGATGGACCAGGACAAACCAAGTCAACTTTATACAGTTATAGAGCAATACCCATATTCAAGGTGTATTTGGCAGGAGGAGACAATGGATTCAAACACTAAACCAAGGGAAATCTTAATTGGAAGAAATTTAGCATAGAGACTGTTGACTGAGGATCATTGAAACTGAATGTTATGTGAGGGATACCCAAAATTGAGGAAACCTAAATGGGGTTTCCACTGTATTTGTCTTTTCCCAGGTTTGCTCAGTGTGGCAAATTGCTCCCTAGGATTCTTGGGTGAATTGTGTTGATGGATAGATGATTAATAGTAGTAAAAAATGCAGCAGTCATCCAAGCTCTTAGCTGAATTCAACCGAACAATCCTATTGTTTGCATGGTCTGAGTATTTTTAATCAGAGGACATTATGTTCACGATCAGTTGACATTGAAAAAATTATTTTGATATCTTGTTTCTTTCAGTCCAACCATCGACATCTGCACACCAAAACACAGGAACTAGCCAGTCAAGTGGACTGCATGCTCCCATCACCTGCTCGTTAGATCCTGGACCAAGATCGTGTGTTTCCCCACTCAACAGATCTGTGGACAGTGCAACTGCTGATGCCACTGCACATCTCATGGTGGCTTCTGATGGAAGCTGGGCAGATCACAGTGACAAGCATGATGATTCAGCATCATCAAAGTTACTCAACAAAACAAGCTCTGTCTCTGAGGATATTGTGACAGTTTTGTCCCGTAACGGCTCTCTCAGTTCCCTTAGCGTTGACTCATTTGGTTCAGTGGAACCAACGCCATCAGAACAAGCGCTGCTGGAGCAGTGTATCAGCTCAGGGATGCCCAAGAGTAAATCAGAGATTGGATGTGGCAAGGCCAGACTTCCTCTTCCAGTTAGCACAAAGAAAATGGTCGGTGCAAGTGTATGTAAGATTCCACTTGCTACAGATCACAGGATACTGGGGGATGGAGAGAGACAAGGTCCAGTCATACCGAGTGTGCCGGTACAGAAACTGGAACTGAAGCCAGTAGTGAGAACCCACTCTGAGAGTAGTACAGATGCCATGAGGACAATAGAGAGTGGTATGGCTTGTCTGTATGTACAGGATGTTCCCACTGACACATGTTCTTATGATATCAGACATGTTCCAAAAAACGGGCTGGATCCGTCTGCTGCATTCAACCTGAAGAAATCTGCAGCAGACGTATACGAAAGCATCGCAGCCATCGAAGGCGTGCAAGATCTCCAAGACCATCTGAAGAATACCAGTGATCTACCAGAGAATATGGGGGTGACAGAGGAAGATTCCAGTTGTGTATCTTCACATGGAACTCTCAGTGCTCATGCGGGTGATAAGAAAGATGCACTTGAAGACCCTGTGGAGTGTCATCTACATCTCCAATATGAAGATGATAAAAATGATGAAAATGTGTTCAGAAGGCCTGCAGTGCCTGAAGAGTGCCAGTGCAGGCCTGATATGAAGTTAGAAATTTGTAAGAAATCTTCATGTATTTCCTCTCTCGGTAATAAAACCATCAGTCCTCGTGAAAATGTAAGTGATATTAAATCTCAGTTCTCATCTGGAGAAAGCTCTTCTACTGGTGTTGGCACTGATGAGAAGGTGGAAGATTGTCAAGGAAAAGGGCAGAGGGATCCCGATGCGATGGTTGCCTCTTTGGACCGCTTCACAGAAGAAACTGTTCAGCAAACACAAGACGTGCATTTGCAGAAAGATAAGAATAAAGATTCTAGCATCATGAAACAAAGCCTTATTGGAAGTGACACATGGAATGAAGACACATCACCCAATGATATATCATTTCCAAGTATGAGTTTAAGCGCACCTCTTGTTGCCTCTTTCAGGAGTGACAATCATGAAGATGGAGCCATCACATTACCAGAGTTGGCTGAAGAATGTGACATCAGCAAGACCAGTGAAGAACAACAGGGCAGTTCACTCACAGATACACACATGATTCAAGCAGAAGCTGGCAGATTAGCAGAAGCAGTACAGACAGAAGGCCAGAACTTCCTGTATGCCTCAAGTGAGGAAATGAAGCATAGTCTGACAAGTCTGAATTCCATAGATCTGGATGCGATCAAGCCACCGTCAATGATGGGAAGTCTTGTGTCTCTAACAGCAAGCTTGTCTGGTCAGTTAGACAATGTTGAGAGTGGCGAAACAAGGGAGCATTGTAATTCATCATCTCTTCCTCCTCATCAGCCCCGAAGTAATGGAACTCGACTGGAATGCAGGCATTCAAGAAAGAGATCTCTCCCTGCTGGAATGATGGTTCGAAGAGCACTGGGAAACAGTAACCACAGCGCAAGTATTGAGAACCTGCAAGACAACACAAGTGTATCCAGCAGCTGTAATTCTCATCTCGATAACATCAAACCTCCATCAGCCATGGAGGAATTAATTGATATCGTGGATATGGAGAACAGCATGATCAGTGTAGCGAGTATCACCTCAGAAGTTGCTGATACGTCAGCCAAAGAGCATTCGACTTCTGAACAGTTGCCAGGGAATAGCGATGGTATATTTGAACTTCTAAAACCAGCAGCAAGTGTCATGGCAGAAGTGTGTGCAGCCGCAATGTGTGCAAGTGTGCGCACCAATAGTGCCAGTGATTGCTTGGACAACATCAATCCTCCATCTGCATTCAGCGAATTTGGAGATTTGGCAGATCCTCAATCAACTGCAGAGCCTGGGACGGAGACAATCTGCAGTGATACGGAGATGTGTACAGAGGAACCTGGTTATGCACATTCCATGGACAAGCTAGATGAAGTTGATGCACCAGATTTGCCCTCAGATACCAGCATGAAAACAACCCCTTTACCTTCAGCAGATCAGTATATGACTAGCTCAGCAGAATCTACCCCCAAGAAACACAGACAACTAACCCCAAAACAGAAACGACAGATGGTGAAGGAGCGTTACAGAACATACACCATCACTGGTGAAGACGGGCAGGAGGAGGAAATTCATAGCAAGAAGGGTGATGATGCCAAGCTGTTATCATCACAGCCAGAAATATCGCTGCAAGTTGGTGAAGCAGATTCTGTTAAAGGTCCATTGCTGGAGGAAGAGAGGAGTCAGAACAAGACAACACCAAAACATCGTCGTCTGGAAGACAGACAGAGATTCCAAACCAGAGTGCTTGATAAATCTGCGTCAGTTGATACAAGCGAACGTGAACAAGAAGGTTGTGGCAAAGCTGATGGAGATCCTTGCCAGGAAGAACACCCTCCTGAATCCATAAATACTGATACAATGAAAGAGAGGAGATCCAGGATAAAGACACTGAAACAAAAAAGAGCAGAGGCAAAGGAAAGGTTTCAGACTCGTACTCTTAGCGAAGAAATCAAACCACAGCCAGAGACAAATATCAGTAATTACAATGCAGGCTCCATTTCAGTTGTTAACTGCTCAGATGCTGGCTTTGTGGAAGCTCCTCTGAATGTCACGCCAGAAGAAATAGAATCTCTGCTTGAACGCGATGCCAACATTGTCATCACAACACTCAATGATTCAAGGCGGTGTAACAGTGAATCATCAGAACTTCCAAGCAGTGACGAGATGCTCCTGGAATGTGAAACGTTGAGCCTTATTTCAATTGAATCCGAGTCAGATCAGAACTCAAACATATGTAGAGTAGGAAGAAGACGAGGGTCAGACCTCATTGGAAGAGAGCCTTCCGTTAGTGAAGAGCCTGGAATGTCAAACACTGGAGCATCAGAGGAGAGAGTGAATGAGGTGGTTGAAGCAGATGTTAAGTGTATGGAATCTGTGGACAATGATGGCGAGGAAAGCCAGGGAGAACAGGATAACAATGCTGATGATTTACCCAAAACAAGAGGTCCACGAATTGTAAAACCTGAAGAAAGACTTAAACTGGATGAAAATGCTGAATCCAATTGCACAGATGATGGTACACCTCAAAATAACAGTCCTAAATCCATTCGTGGGAGACGAAAGGCTCTGTACTCTTCACCTGCAGTGAAGAGACCAAGTGTGCCTTCTTCAGGGTTACCTGTTGCTGGGAAAGCTCGGAGTAGCATTCCTGTCGTATCTGTTGCAGCTAGTAATGGGAGACCCACAAGAGCCTCTGTAGTGAGGCAGACTGGAAAAGGTACCTCACAGCGATCTGTCTCTAGAACTCCACCTTCCTCTACAGAGAGAAGTCCTCGTAATGCAAGCCCGAAGACGAGTAGGACAGGGAGAACACAGCAACGGAATCCAAACAATGTAAAATTAATGACATCAAGAAACAGTGGTGCCACATGCACACCTGGCAAGGAAAGTGACGAACAAGTTGTTAAAGATCCAAGGTTTAAGCCGCCTGAAAGACAGGGCACTTTCACAAAGGATGAAATACCTAAGGTATTGCTTCCACCATCACCCACAAAAACAAGAATTCCAGTTCCAGCTTCCATTAGTACTGTGTCCGCTAAATATGAGTCAGAAGCAAAGAAGACTTGTGGTGTGACCAAACAGTCCCGTTCTGTTGCTTCTACAACTTCAAAGATCAAAATTCATAAAGAAAAATCAGCTCCAGTTCTCACAAGATCTCTGGGCCAGAGCAGATTTACAAGAAACTATAGTCAAGAAATTAGTAATTCAGGCAAGGGCTTACCAACACCAAACCAAAAATCTGTTATAAAGGCTGCAACAATTCCAGGAAGAAATGGTACTACTCGGTCTCCTCCTTTATCTAGGGTGGGATATAAAAGAGGTAGCATTGGTGCCCAGGAGGGCATGAAGGCATCCCTCAGTAACCAGAGTCTGCAGAGTAATGACAGTGGCAGGATAACAGTAAAGCAAGGAGGAGTACAGCCTCAAAGATCTACCAGTAATTGCAGTCTCAATTCTGTTGCATCAGGAGGAGGTTCTGGCAGCAAAAAGGAAGTAACGAGCAAGATTGCAAGCTTGTGGAAACGGGTTGAAGAGAGTAAAACCAAACAGAAAGCTGCTGCAAAGGATTCAAGAGTATGGATCACTGCAGCACCTGATGAGGCAGTTGATGTAGGCAGTGTGGTCTCTGCTGATGTCCCTCAAGCTGCCAGACTTGTACGTAGCTCAACTTTTGAGGGTCTTCCACCCGTATCTGCCAGCAATGATGAAGTTGACCACAATGCAAGAATAGCTACAGCAAGTAAGACAACGATAAAAATGAGGTTCTCAAAACATGATGGTAAAAGAGAGAGTAAAGACAGACAGATTTCAGGGGATTTTACAGGGTTTGTTGCAAATCAGGAAGCACCCTTAAAACCATCAACTGTACAGAGGCAAGTAGCAGAGGTAACAGGAGTGGCTATAGTACAGCCTACAAGAAAAGTCATGGCTACTTCTGAACCCCAACACCTGAACAACAGTCAAGATGAAATTCCTACCCCGGAAGTCGTTCTTAGGAGACGGCAGAGCGGATCTGAAAATACTGACCCAGATCTGGAAAAACCAAAAAGATTGTCAAGACTTGGTTCTTTTATAAGAATTGATCCCCCTGAAGAAGTGATCAGCAGTGGTGACAGCAGAAGTCTGCCCAGACATCCTGCTTCTGCAATAGTTGAGCCATTTAATTACTGCCCACCCACTTCCATGGGTGGCTCCCACACTGTGACACCTGTTGCCAAGAGAAGTGAATCATACCTGAGTTTAATTGGTAATGTGGAGGAACTGAGACGTGAACAGACTGAAGTGTTAGACGAACATATGCCGGAGTTTAACACAGCATCCATTAGAATTACCACAGTCTGAACTTATACAAAATTGGAACATTTTAATTAAATATATTGCCATTGAACTGATGGTACTGCTATGATAATTTGAAGCAGATTGCAGGATACAGTTTTGTTTCTGTCATTCCTATGCCAAAACTTTCATCAATCGATTGGTGATAGCAGTCTTTTTGTGACCATGAGTCCACTGCCCCTGTAAGTTTGTGTGTGATGTGCAATTTTTGAAGGGAACTCTCATGTCTCATTCATTGATCAGTCATGTTGCAGTCTAATCAAATTTGGGAAATCTGAAATAAGTTAATTGTATTTTGTATATATGCAATACAAACCTGCTGTATCAGGCTTAAAGTCATCCACACACATAAGTAGAATGCATATTCTTAAGGTCCCGTCTTATTATGTTTGGGCTGACGTAACTTCCCAACGGGAGCTACCTGTATTTTATCCAGAAAATGTCAGTTTCTGTGTTTAGTTTCATAGGTAGTGTACCTTATATTTTGCATATGTAAATAATGTGTAGTGCATGCATGAATTTAGATACCTGCTGATTAATTTATTACAAACTGTTTAGAGTGAAATCTGATTGTTACAAAATTCCATTGATGGTTAATAATGGTGAATGTTAACACTGTTTGGGAGTGTGTATGGGAAATGATTTTTGTAAGGCTTAGATTTATAAAGGGCCTATGACATATTTTTTTTTCTAATATTATAGAATTTTGTGATGATAAGATTTCATTGGAAATCAAATGAAAGGATGCCTTTGATTTTTTATTAATTTCTTTACAGTTTTTCTTGTAAATTTTTCTTATTATAAACTGTGCAGTAAGAATTTAATCTTTTATTCATTGTAAACATGGACATTACATAAAATCATGTAACGTGAACGTGGGAGTTGTTAACAAACATGACATACCAAGAGGTAACAACATTCAGAAGAGACGTGTGTAGGTTCTGCACTTCTGTGAAGCTGTTTGGAGTCTGCAAGGAGCCCATACCGCTCTCAAAACAATATGGCTGCTTTCTTTCTGCTGTTAGATACTGTGAAGCTGAGATGGAATGAAACTGTGAAGTTTGTTTTGGAATTTTCTGAACTGGAAGTAGTACGTCACATTCATTGCTGAAAGTATGAAGCATCTGGGAATTTATTCTATAGTCAATAAATATTTTATTTCTTGTGACATCTGAGGTTCTTATGTTACTGTCAAGTTTTATGGGCTTCTGCTATATGTCCAAACATTCCTGAGGAACATATTGCTTCAATCTTCAGGGTGTCTACAGTAGTAAGTTGCTCTGAAAAGTTGGTTCACATATACCAAACTATGGGATGTCATGTCCCAACAGACCGCATTCTTGATTTATTTTTGTTTTATTTTATGTAACTGTAATTTTATTAAATGATCATACAGAGACTTACTGATTTGCATTGCATTTCAAGTGATAAACATGTTTCTTGTTGTCAGCTTTCTTTCTATAAACCAGTATTTAAGAAGAATCAGAAGTATAGTTTGTGTTAAAGAACAGTCTCTGGCATACGTGCAATTTCCACTATTTTTGTGCCCAACATTAATATTTAAACTGACATAAATTCCAGCATTTACATCGGACATAAATTCATGATTCAATGAGTAATGTAAAGGAAAGTGTTTATGAAGAGCACTGTCTTCTGGAAAGTGGTGCTTTGTTGTCTGGTAGAACTTTTGATGTTTTGGAGGAATGTGCCACCCTCATTTTTAGGGTAGAAGAGTACTGTGAATATGGAGACAGAAAATCCCTCTGAAATGTTTAAGAACAAACTGTACTCCAGCCACTACATGGACAAGTGTGCATTATCATAAGTTACATAGACAGTAACATCATCATACCACAAGGATTCATACACCAATGGGAACTACAGATATATTTATGCAGGGTTTTTCTTCTGGAAGGTTGCCCACACATGGTATGATGTGCTCTGGGTTGTAGAGTAGCTGGACTTTACCAGACTACATGGCATCACATCCCACAAGATGGTAATCTTCCTAGTTACCACTGTGAGAACCTCAGATGTTGAATGTGTTTATCTCAGTTTAAATCTGGTTTGTCGTTTTTGTTAGCTTGAAGACACATTCATGAGATGGCTGATGAGAAACTGTTGCAGTAGGAGAAACACAATATGCTTGCCTCACGTTTTTGAAGAATTGTAATCCAAGAAATTAATGCATGAGATTGCAGTCAAAGAACTGTCATCTTCTAGTCTGTGTGTTATGCCAGTCATATTCCAATTTGTTTAATGGGAGGGAATATGAAATCATATCTAAACCAAACTCCATTCCTTTGTTGTAATGTTTTACTATAAATGATGCAGTTACTGTTTCTTAACCTTTTCAAGCATGAAATTAATCTAAATGCTATTTAAAAATCAGTTCATACCATGCAAGGAAGCAGGGAAATAATCGCCGTTTCTTCTGAGAATCGTACAAAATATGGCCACAGTACCCTCTATATGCAAAATGCAGAATATTTGTGATGTTAGGGCATGTGGTACATACAGAGAACACTGTGCTCTAAGGCGTCTTTTAAGTTCCTGTAAAAATCACCAGGTTATACTTGCAATCTTAGGGAAACTAGATGTACCTTTGTTATTCCTGCACTTGTGATACTGCTATAATTCCAAAATGGAGCATTAAAAGAACAAATATGAAATCTGAAAATATTATACCACTATACATTTCTCTATGCATAAAAAAGGAAGCTAGCATATACAGGTAATGAAACACTGACCACATTTCAGTGAACAAATTGTGTTTACTGCTTTTTATAGACTCATTAAAATAAAATCTACTTCTTTCCAGAACTGCTTAGTCTTGCAATTTAAGCTATTTTTTTATATGCTGAAGCAGTTTTAGCTTAAACTGGATATATGGAAACAATTTAAGGTAGTTTCTTTGGATATATGGAAACAACTTAAGCTAGTTTCTCAGATACATGCAAGCAGTTTAAGCTAGTTTTGTGGTTTTTTGGAAACAATTTAACCTAGTTTCTTGGATACATGGAAACAACTTAATCTACTTTCTTGGTTATGTTGAAACAATTTAAACTAGTTTCTTGGTTACATGGAAACAGTTTAACCTAGTTTCTTGGATACATGGAAGCAAGTGAAGCAAGTTTTCTTGAATGAAATTGAAGTTAGTTTGTTGGATAAATTGAAGCAATTGAATCTTGTTTCTCGGATACAAGGAAGCCATAATTTTATCATGACATTTCTTCCTACAGCTGGTATGCAGTTTGGTTTTGCCTTGAATATTGAACTTATAAACTGCAGAATAGCATCAGCATAACATGGTAAAGCCATATAGTTCTTCTATTCATGTCAGTTGGATATTATAATGCTGTTTGTACTGGAATATTATCTGTGAATGGAGCATGTGCTCCAATAAATATATTGTGACACTATAGTGTTGCATTATGAACTGTGCCATTTGCTCATTAGTTCCTATTCCTGCTGCCTACTTTAAAGCCTTATGATACTCATTTTGCATATATGTATGTACACCTTTCTTATTTTCTTGCTCTTATGCCCTTTCATAACTCTCTGATTTTCCATGAAATGTATCCTGTTCTTATCATATACATTTTAAAAATTCCATAGACATGGCTGGTAGTCAGTGATTATCACAACCTGTTGAAGAACTGTACATATGAAGAAAGCCGTCGTCTGGGATGTGGTGCCATGTAGCAATTGTGTTAACCAACGTTTTCGAGGAACGTATCGCCTTCATCTTCAGGGTAGAAGACAAGAAGAAATCCGTGAGTGAACCAGCTAGAGCAGGTGCAACAGGCTGAGTCCAGTTGAGTAAACACAGCTGTATAAGAGAAGGAGAGAAGTGAGTGTGGCTACATAGGGAAATAGTATAGAGGGGGGAGGGGAAGGGTCTGGTGGAATGGCCAGCAGGTAGTGGGCCAGAGCTGGTATAGAGTATGTGTTAGGGGGAGAGAAGGGAAGGTCAAATGGAGGGGATTAACCCTGTACCTCGGGGGCTGCGATGGACCTGAGTGGCCTATAGGGTCTGCTGTATTTCGGAGGTTGCTTGAGGGAACAGATGAGAGGCTTCCCTGACTTGCTGAGACAAAACCCCCACCTCTCTGTTCATATTGTCGGGATGGAGTTCGATCTCAATGGCCTCCCTAATGATGCGATCCATATAACGGGTCTTGGTAGCAAGGATGGAGGTATTCTGAAGCTGAATGCGGTGTCCAAAATCGATGCTGTGTTGAGCCACAGCTGACTTGTCTGGATGTTCAAGACAGATGTGCCGCTGATGCTCCTTCAACCTTGTGCCCACAGAATGGCCTGTCTGCCCAATATAGACCTTGCCACACTCGCATGGGATACTGTACACACCCGGTGTCCTTAGTCCCAGGCTATCTTTGACTGCCTGGAGGAAACTAGATAATTTCTTTGGAGGCAGGCCCACTGATTTGATGTTGTGCCAGGACAGTGCTCTGCTAATACAGTTGAATATAGTCCCGACATAAGGCAGGAAGGCAACTGAGTCCAGTTTATCTTCGGGCCGACTGATGTTTGGCTGACGGTTGAGAACTCTATGGATCTGCCGGTTATTGTATCCGTTCTGCCTGAAAACATCCCCCAGGAGTAGCAACTCCACATGTAGGCTGTCTTGATCACACAGTGCTCTAGCCCTGTGCACCAATGCGGAAGGGACAGCTTGCTTGTTGGAAGGGTGGTGGTGGGATGCAGCGTTAAGGTAGAGGTTTGTATGGGTGGATTTGCGGTACACTCTATGGCCCAGAGAACCGTCAGGTCTCCTGTAAATATCTATATCCAAGAAGGAGAGGTGGCCCTCAATTTCAGTCTCCATTGTGAACTGAATGCACTGGTGGATACTATTTAGGTGGTTCAGGAAGTCCTTAAGCTTGTCGGGCCTGTGTGGCCAGATGATGTCGGTTAACACAATTTCTACACGGTGCCATACCTCAGAAGATGGCTTTCTTCATAGTCACTGCCATGAAAACCTCAAATCTTACATAACTGTACATATATTTGCAACTGTTTGCAGTAACGCATTCTTGTGAAATTTAAGGACATACANCATTTATCGTATGGAGTGCAACAGGATGCTTAAATATAATATTAAGGACATACGTTACTATCTTCAGCAGATACTGCTCAACAAATCAACAAATTGTTATGTGTGGTTAGGAACTTAAAGATTCTCTTGACAGAAAAGAAATGTCAAGTCTTTGTTGACTTCGAGAGTGCTTATGATTTTGTTTTGAGGGTGCAACTTAGAGACAAATTATAATAAATTGGTGTAAAAGGTAGAATCCTGAAATGGTTCCACAATGTTGTTAATCAAAATTTCTGTGCAAATAAGTTGAAAATGAAATCTCAGAATATAAGCAAAGTGGGGCAGTTGCTAGTACCACCCTTTTTAATGTGATGGTCAGTGACCTGCCAGGACAACTAGATGAAATCCAGAAAGTTAGTCAGCACTTTGCAGATGACATAGTGATCTGAACACAACTGCCAAAGAATCAGGAACACTGGTTCTTGAAAATAATGAATGAAGCACTAACTCCTTAGTAATTGGTGTTATGAAAATGCCATGACAATAGTGGAGGAACTGTTTTGGAAGAGACTGTGGACCTGTCGTCTGACAGATTACTGATGATGATGATGATGAATAAGTATGAAGGAAGTTCTTCACCCTGAGCCACAAGCAACTCAGAGTAAGTTTGAAAATCAATAACAACCCTGTTGTGCAAACACAAAATTCTAAATATTCAGGAATGCACCTTGATGGAAAATTCACATGGAGAAACCATGCAGAGAAGACAGTTGAAAAAGAAAAGTGTTCTGAAAAGGCTTACAGTAAGCAAATGGGGTAATTCAAGATCTGCATTGAATGGTACATATGAAGCATAAAGGTACACAGTAGTAAATTCAGCCCCAAACAATAACCTAACTTAATACAGGTTATTGGTTAGTTGTGACAGTATTTTAGGCTTTTAGTTCTTGTGTGCTCTCGAGACTTAGTGAGCCACCACTGCTTTCGAGCTTGGATGTGCATTAATTATGCAGTAATGAAAAGCAGATTGCTCTAACAGGTTAGCAACATAAAATTAAATAAACACAGTCCATAATTCCAAAGGTGTTTCTGAGAGGAAGCATTTAATATATCAAACATACGCCTGAAACATAACGGTGCTTTTAGCCAGAAAGGTTTGTTGGGAGATCGGAGGTAGTACAATCTATGATAGGAATCAGAATGGCATACGCCTCTTAAGGCAAATTTTCACTATGACCTCTACTATATGGGCAAAACAATTCCCGCTGTTGATGATGTAGCATCATATCACACACGTATCCTTATATTTGAAAGGATAGCGCACCTAAATGTGTAACTCCTTGCTGTGCTCAGTATAGTGTCAAGTCATGTACGTGATAGTAGTTCAGGCATTGATTGCACATTTTGACTTGTGCTGTACATCCCACCCCACAAACTCAAACTTTGTTGATAGCACCCTCATTGTATGCTACCATCACTTATATAAAGGGCACTGTGTGTAACCCTGGAGAATAAGAGGAATTATATACACATGTTATGCTTATAGCGCTCGAACCACTTTCAAACCTTGACAGTCCCAACTCTCAATGATTCCTTGAGGATGTCACGGTCATCCTGATCATCAAGGTATATTTTATCTGAACGATCTGAACCCTCCATATCAATACCACTGATTACCAGAGCCCGGATTTTGATGACATGTCATCTTTTTTTCCTTGTAACCTAGTCGATGCCTGTACATATATAAATCCTAGATATGAGCTTCTGGGTACAGAAATGTAACTTTTATAGGTCATTTTTCATAATTTTTAACTTTTAGATAATTTTTTTTTTTCGGTTTTGGGGTAATTTTTCGGTAAACTTTTGGAATTTTAAGGGTATTTTTGTCATTTCAGCCATTTTAGGGGATTTTTCTTCATGTTTTCAGAAATGTGAATAATATGCAAGTAAAGTGTTCTCTCTCTTTCTCCTGCATCTACAAAGGCAGCCTGTAGCTGTACCCCAAATACCTGCTACCACAGTATGGAATAATAAGTCGTAATTCTGTCCCGTTCTTTCCGTTCGTTTTGCGGAAAGTGCTAACATTACATATCATAAAAGATTTTAAGCTGGCAGCAGGGTATGACAGCGGTCACTCACACTGTGGCCTTTCCAAGTTCTGTGCAAACGAATTTGATTAGTGACAAATATTTCGAGTTGGATTCAAGTCCCGATGAGGTCATTGGATTTTTTTTATGTTGACCTAATCCTTCTGACTGCACTATGGCCCTGGGGTCAACTCAGCCTCTAACAGAAATGAGTACCAGGAACATTCATGGGGGTAAAGGGAGGTTGGCACGTAGGGCTGACAGCCTTGCCACCATCTAGGAGCTGATTGTGTAGAAAATGTGGGAACCTCAACATCACACAACCCAATGGGCCTCCATGGTTTGTTACAGGGATAACTTTACTTTACTTTACTTTATATGTTCATTTGATTAGCATTCCAACGCGGTAGAAAAAATCGTATTAAAACATTTAGCTTCAAATTAAACTACATATTGCTTAATTTTCAATATAAAAACGAGGACGAACTGAAAAGGGTAACGTTGAGTTCACAGTGTTAATAAAGATTACAAATACATTTTAAAACCGTTAGTAGATTTTCTATGACATGATACATTTTTAGGTCGTTTTTTAACTTTCAGATCATTTTTCTGGATTTTTCGGTCATTTTTAAAACACTCTTAGGTCATCAAAATCCGGGCCCTAGTGATTACTTAACACGTACGTGTGTCGATGGATTATTTTCTTAGTACATACTCTTACAGCGCAAGCTGTGGTCGGCAGTCCCTAATAGTCTTGATCGTCTTGATCGTCTTGATGTGTGTTGGCAGTACTGGGCTGTGGTAGGCTTCTGTTGGCACAATCGTGTGTGATCGTGTGCAATGGTGTGGTTCATGATCTAACCTGTGATGTGGGTGACACGTATAGATTGAGCACGGAAACATCGGAAATTTGTTTGGTTTTGTATAATTAGTAATTTAATTCTTTTAGCAACGGAATGCAGGTATATAAATATAATCAGATAACTTTTTTTAATACACACGTTTGCAGTGAACAAAAATTTTATGAGACCGTACGGTTCAGTGTGGTTAAAATTAGAAATGTTAACCCAAAGCCTTTCATATTTTCTTCTTCAGGAACAGTTCGTGCCAATTGACATTCATACCAATAAGTTGTCTGACTGGTTAATCAGTCGCAGACATTGCAGCCGAGAGTGGCAGACGCAAATTTTAACTATAAGAGAGAAAATTAACAATGCCATTCAAGATATGCCTGTCCATGAAGGCATAACAAAACTGTTGTCTGGAATCTGTAAGTTTACTACATTTAATTTAGTTGTGTCAGATATACTTATTGTAGTTACGGAGTTAATAGGTTTTGGGATTTTGTTGCAGATATAAACTATTTTCATTGCCTGAAAATTATTGAAATCCTGAAAGAAACTGAAGCTAACAGTAAAAACATTTTTGGATCATATGGATCACAGAGAATGAAAGACTGGCAAGAAATTGTACGTCTTTATGAAAAGGAAAATGTATACCTTGCTGAGGCAGCTCAGATGCTTATACGGAATGTCAATTATGAAGTCCCAAGTTTGAAAAAACAGATTGCTAAATGTGAGCAGCTGCAGGTGGTAAGGTTCATTTTAAGTTTCTAGACCATAAGTAAAATGTTTCAATTTAGTGTTAGTATTGAAGTTATATAATGTTCCAGGAGGCCTGAATTCAGTTGGTTTCAAAATGAAGTGCTATAGTACAGCACATCCCTGCTTTTTGAAAATGTGTCTGAAAATGAAATTCAGTAAGTGTTAGTTAAGGGTTTTTTTAAAAGAATGTTCTGCTCTTTGTACAAAAATATACCAGTTCAAGTCCAAGTTATGAGGTGTTTTGTCACATGTAAAGGGTAAAGAAGTCCCTTGGTTGTGGCTTCCAATGAGAGACGTTCCTCTTCCTCAGGGTTCCCAAACTGTCCCTGGCCTCAGCTAGCAGCTTCTCATAGCAACAGCTTATAATGACTGAACTCCATTGGTTGTCTAACTAACTCACCGACTGACTCGCTAACTTGCCTTGCTTGTAACATATCGGCACAGGCTGCACAGAAAACTCCGTTTCTCTGTTGCTGTTTATGGGCTGCTGCCTAGTAACGATCGTTGTATGGTTGCTTATTTTATGGTCGCTTTCTAAGCAATGGGTTTGCATGCCACAATATGCCCTGTGTACTTTGTAATGTATGTAAGAGTTTAATGTTATTATATTCACTAATTAGAAAATTATATGCAGTTTGAAGTCTTAGGCAAAAGAATCACGCTCTACATGCCAGATTTTATATGAATCAGTGAACATAAATAGAATTAAACTGTGCTCTCTTCTGCTGATAAGGAATGTGACAAAAAGGAAGCAGAGTACTTGAAGGCAAGCAATGTTGTTCGAGGGGAATTCCAAACATTATGCAAGCAGCTGGGAATCCAAGGTCAGAAGATCAAGCGTGAGCTTGTAAGCCTGATAGCTGAATTGCCTGACATCTACAGTAAACTTGCGGACAGCGTCAAGACGTTGGCTCAGGCTGTGGAATTCTACACAGAGTTTGTGAAGTTCATTTTTGGCAAGGAACACCCAGGTGGTTGTGTCGCTCTCCTCAAGTATATGATTGGTAAGTATATTTTTTTATTAGTTAATATTTTGCAGCCATATTACCTCTTTCCTTCCTTCTCAAACCCAGGTGCCTCAGGGATGCCACAAATGTGCGTAGGTAGGTATCCAACTGTTTGGAGAGAAGCATGGAGCCTCAGATATACAGGGTCTTCAGGATTACACTCAGGTTTCTAGGAAGCCACATTCTCCTAACCATGATATTGACACATGTAAAGTGGTACGTGTGATGAATAACAGGTTCTAGCCAAACATGTATATATCCACTGTCCGTCAATAATGCAAAAATCGTTAATTCACCATTTAACACTTAACATGTTTCGGCCATTAGATGGCCATCTTCGGGTGTTTTAATACGTCCAACTGTTACACTGTTCTGAAGTGCGCTAAAACTGCGCACTGCAGTCCACTTAAAAATAACATCTGTAATCTGTAATATGCAGACATAGCAACGGGCTAATGAACAGAAAAACAAGCTGCAGAAACAAACCTTTTGGAATGTTACATAGCTCTAAACAAGTGGATGACGCCTCTTATGAGGTGGAATAGGATTTTATGGAAAATTTTAATAGATTTTAAGTAATTATTTATGTTATTTTTAAGTGGACTGCAGCACGTGATTTTAGCGCACTTCAGAACAGTGTAACACCTGGACACATTAAAACACCTGAAGATGGCCATCTATGGCCAAAACATGTTGTGTTAAGTTAAATGGTGAATAAACAATTGTTGCATTATTGATGGACTGTGGATACATAGACATTTGGTTAAAGATTTGCAACAGGATGCTGAAATATGGAATAACAGGTTCTAGACTGGATCATTGGATTTAATGGCACTTGGGTTACAGTCTCTCTTAGTTACAATTAATACAGCATCATCGCTGATTTACACAATTTTCAGTTCACTGTTACACATGCACTAGGATTCTCAGTCTTCACTAGTCGTCTTCTTGTAACAGAATTAAAACTGTCTCGCTGTGTCTAAATCTTCTAATCACACGCTAAGTCTTCACAGGCGGACTTCTAATTCTTCTTCAACTATGAACTGCTGTGTGCCATTGTATTCCCATTCTCTTGACTGAACTTATCTAAGCTCCAACAGATCCTTGTTATATAGGCTCCACATGGACCACACAGAAAACACAGCCCCTGTATTGTGTGATGTCATCGAACATGCGCAGGCTGTATGGACAGAAAGCAAACGTTGGTGCTCTTGCCTAGAAACGGGTTGCATAACCCTGTTGTTCTGTTGAGTGTGTGTATTTCGTAGCAATGGCTGTTTCTGTGGCTCAACAGTTCTTGCATGGAGCAAATAAGCCACAATATATATTGAGCTCTTACAAGTTATTGATTTACTTAAGTAACTTTAAAAGTTACTGCCCTATTATCTACCATGTTAGCAGTGCCAGCCTTACAAATATTTAGTAGGGGTGACCCAAGTTTTCACCCAAAAGGAAATGGATACTGTCTTATCTTTTAGTGAAGAAGAACATTTGTTTTCAAAAACAAAATCAATAGCCTACCTTGTGGACTTTTTATTTGAGGCAAATTCTAAGGGCGATGTTTGGATTTTAGTCTTATGGATAAACTTTGATGGTTGGCACTGCTAACGTGACTCATGATATGGCTCTAAATTTTAAATTACTTCAGTCATCTAGTAACCCTTTAAGGACTGAGTCAGAGTCAAATTTACTTTAGTATTGGTGGTTTACTGCCAATCAATTTGGCTTGGTGACAAGCCCCTTGAGACCCACAGCCAGTATTTTCTTTTAATTGAATACTTGTGGTTATATTTCTCGTGTAACATCCTCTCTGACAAGAGGATCGGTTGTTTACAGTTGCTGGTGGTCCTTGTCAGTGCAGTCTTTCTCAGGTCTGAGTCTCAAGTTGTGTAGGGATCCAGTTGCTGCTTATTGTGGGAATGACACAAAACACACAGATATACTGTGTGGGCAGAATGCAGAGTTTTAGTATTGTGGCATATTGGCTCAAAGCAAGAATTGTGGAACCAGAGAAACAGCCATTGCTGGCAAATGGCTGTGATACATCATTCGTTTCTAGGTGATAGCTGCAGAACAAACAGCAGGACAATGTCCATTGCTAGGCAGCAGTTTCTTAATAAGCAACAGAGGAATGGTGTCTTCTGTGCGGTCCGTGCCGAGATGTTATGACCGGGATAGTTTGGAGCAGTGAGTTGAATGCTCAGTTGAAAGTCAGGCTGTGAAGAGAAGATTTTATATGTGTTGTAGTTACAGTGATTTTGGAGTGTGTAATTCAGCCAGACTGTTATAATTATTGTGCTAAAGTCCATTGCCTAGAAGCGGGTAGTGGAGACTAATAGACTGAGGACTCTAGTCTGTGTGTGACAGTAATGTGTAATGTATAGTCACAAGTCATGAGTCGGTCAATAAATCCAATATCCAATTCAAAAGCCCATTCAGAGTCACCCTAACACATGACATTATATTATAGCAGGTGGTGCATATAGTGGTCAGTGGTTAATATGTAGTTAGTTAGTTATTAGAGAGGGTGGGTTTCCCCATGCACTGAGACCTGTATTGGTCCATTGTGTTTCCCTCTATGATTTCTACCAGTCTCTATAGCCTACCGGTACTGGTGCTTACCATCAGTCCCGCCCAGCCAGCGAGACCAGCTCTGCTAGCTGAGAGGTATCTATAATGTTTCCCCGTCTACCAGAGGTATTAGAGACTGCTGTTGGGCGGAAAACGCCCTTGAATTTGGCTCAGCGACCTCCTTTGGAGATATGAGGTTCTTTTATGTGCCGTAAAGCTACAACACGGGACCCACGGCTTAAAGTCCCTCCCGGAGGACTTGTTCCCTGAATTTTTCCGCCCTTAAAAATTCCATGACCTCTGCTGGGTTTGAACCCGCGTACCACGAGTCATGAGGTGGGAACGTTACCTCTAGACTACGGAGGCCGCTTGGTTAATATGTAAGTATGCATATTGAAAAAGTGAAACTTGGAATTGAAGCAAGATGTAGAGGGACGAATCCATGGGACTTGGGTCTGTGGTCTGGGTATAGTAAAGGTTATCATGTTGTCATTGTTAACATTTATGGGGACAGAATATCTAGATGAGTGCAGGGGAATATAGGGAAGTATGGTGGAGGGGGAAGCATAGAAGCTGCAGGGAGATATGGAGAGGGGGTTCAAGCCATGGTACTTGTTTCTTTGGCCTCGGTATTGAGATGATTATGAGAAACGAGTGAATTGCATCTAAAACTGCCTTCCACATAAAACAATATCAATTATGCAGTTATATACATGTTGCTGTTAATTTTATGAACGCTTTGACTCACAGAGCATGGTAATGTGACGACATACGAATGGAAGTATGGGGAGCCACCTCTGAAGATTGAAGAACCGCCGTTGAACATCAGATTTGAATATGAAACTGACAATGCACATGCAGATGATAATGCTGTGAGTATGATTGTTTGCTTGTGTGAAAATCTACAGATTATCGTTTTTAAGACAACTAACTGTAGGGGCACATGGTAGCGTAATTGGTTGAGGCACTATGCTACAAGCCGGAAGGTTGTGGGTGCAAGTCCCGATGAGGTCATTGGATTTTTTTTTCTATTGATCTAATGATCCTAGCCATGCTGGGGGCTGGGGTTGACTCAGCCTCTAACAGAAATGAGTGCCTAATATTCCTGAAATGTTCTTGGGGGTAAAGGGCGGCCGGCATGTAAGGCTGACAATCTCACCGCCATCTGTGAGCCAATTGTCTAGAAAATGTGGGAGCCTCAACATCGCACAACCCTATGGACCTCCACGGCCTGTTACAGGATACCTTTACTTTACTTACTTTTACGACAACTAACTTCACAGACCAGAGGCTGTCTTGAGCCAGTTGTCACACAGGCAATCAACTTTCCACCTTTTGCGGAACCTGATAGTGTGTGAGTGTGATCACATAGCCTGCCACTAGTGTCTGTCCTGAAGACCATGATTGCAGTTTTCATCCCCACAGCTCTTTTAACATTCCTTTAATATTTCTCCTGTCTATATATAGGTCTCTCAAGTAGTGTCTTGTCTTCAAGTTTTAAGATGAAAATTTTCCGATGCATACTATCTGTCCTGCCCCCATCTCATCCTCCTTGATTTGATCATCCTAACAATATTTGGTGAAGAGCACAGATTCTGAAGCGCCTCGTCTTATTATGTCCTCTCTCTTTAAAAAAAAAAAAAAAAAGGGAAAAGCTATTATCCCTGTAACAGGCCGTGGAGATCAATAGAGTTGAAAGGTTTAGCCTCCCACATTTTCTCTTGACATTTGGCTCACAGATTGCAGTGAAGTTAATTAAAGCTATTCCTACAACCGGTTGTGGAGGTCCATAAGGTTGTAGGACGTCAAGGCTCCCACATTTTCTAGACAGTCGGCTCACAGATAGCTGTGAGGTTGTCAGCCTTATGTGCTGGCTGCCCTTTTACTCTCAGGAAGATTCCTGGTACTCTTTTCTGTTTGTGGCTGAGTCGACCTCAGGGCCATCATGTGGCTGAAAAATCTGATGACCTTATCAGGAATTGAACCTGTGACATTCAGGCTTGTAATGTAATGCATGTCCTTTCTCTTACATCTCAACCCCCAGTCTGTGTCCTGCCTTCTGTGATAAAATGTAGCTGTAGGACATGAAATGCACAATTTTTTTTGATAAACAGTGTTCCCATCTGAATAGTTGAAAGCCATGCCAAATGTATGTATGAGCTAAGTAAGGTACTGCTTAAGACCTATGAAGGTATAAAGAAATAAGCCAGTAATATGTTTGTATTGTGATTATATGATTTGACAGCTGTTACTTGCTCTTGTGTTAGTGTGAAGTCAGATGCTAAGGAAACTGTGCACTGAGGAAGTGTTTAATTTGCCAGTGCCGTTGTTGATTGTGTAATCCGGGCTTAATTAAACATCATTCCATGAAGATGTATGCATTTTTAATCTTTGGGGGGGGGGCTAGATGGAGGCAAATGGCTAATGCCCTCACTTCTATACCTCAGGGAAAAGAATAGGAGGCTAGCTTGGCCTCAAGAGCTAGTTTGGGTGCCCTTTCTGGGAATTGGTCTGAAATTTTGTAGTTATATGCTTTGTAGCCTAGTTTCTGTGCTGAGTGAGACATCATGCCTCCTAATTTGTACCTGTGAGCATGCTTATTGCGATTGGTTCTTCCAGATTGATTTTGGAGATGGCAGTGAAAGTGTCATTGACTTTGGAAGCCTTGACAGTGACAACACTGCTGGATTTCAGTCTAGTGGAGTCACCATAGAAGAAGGAGAAATTGACTGGGGCATTAGTACTGTTGGAAATGAGGTATTTTGTTTCCAGGACTTGGAAAGTTCACAGAATACAGTGAGTCCTCTCATTAATGTTCTGGTTACATACATGTTTGCATGATGATGTGAGGTGGAATGAAATTGTGCAAATCAACTTCTACCATAAGAAACGTAAGAAGTAGGTTACTTTCCTCAGCTTTTCCTGACCTCCATAACATATTGTAACGTGATTTGCCACTGAAGATGCCGTTCAGATTGTTAATTGGTTTATTTAACCACCTACAAGTCTTGGCTACAATTAATTATAACACTGTTATAGGTTTACACAATTTACAAACCCTACGCACTATTCTATTCACTCTGTCCTCAGTAGTCTTAACGTATTTATAATGCAGGAGCTATACAAGTGCAACTTAATTACTCACTCCCAATACCTTCTCAGTTATCATAACTATCACTGATTATTACACACAAGCTCGTCTGATCACGTGTCCGGTTCTTCTTTCCACGACTGCTGCTATATTCCAACTTTTCTCCCCAGGCCCTCATTTTTTTCAGCAGGAGTTCCATTATTTGAAGTGAGTCCATTTTTGTGGGCAGTGCTATAAATACACACTTCATTGTTCAGTTAAATAATCGCTTCAGTCGATGAACTCTGACGAAATTGTCGCGTGTTTTAAGTTTGTAAACCAATCCTGACACCAAATTGTCACATGTTGGGTGTATAACGAGCGACACATAACTTCATGCCTTATTTGATATAGCGAATTTATTCCACTCGCTCTTACAATCACACAATTTACAATCTCAACTTACTGCTATTGGCAGTATCACAAATGCTAGACTGCAATTAACTGATTACTCTTTCTCTAGTAACTGGCTCAATACTCACTACTCACTAACCAATCACTCACTACTAACTACTGACTGACTTTGAATAGTGTCCGCTGCTCCTTATTTAGCCTTGGCACGGACAAGACAGAAAGCAGTTACGTGATAGGTACCGCTGTTGCCTGACGCTGTGTTTGCCGATAGCCTAGCAACACTGTCGGGAGTTGTTTATGGTTGCATAGCAACCGTGGCATCCCTTGGTCACGTCACCACAGGAGGGGGCGGGGTGTTGACTGGCCTATTACTGTAGCAATGGCAACGCTCTGAAGGTGTTACCTCACCGCTGGCGGGGGAGGGGGTGTCCTGCATAGTGCAAATACATCACAATATATTGCAATATAGACTCCACTGACCGACCAACTGAAGTCTTGCATGGCCACGAGTGGTAGGGTCCTGCCATGAGATTAACAGGTACTCAGTAAATCACGATACAATTATGCAAAGGATGGTGGATTCAGATAATTTTGGTGCTAAAAGTAATGCAATGAAAGCATATGAAATTGATACATACAGCATTCTCTTACAATGGTCACTGTTTTTGCAGATTGATTTCAACATTTCTCTAGAGGAGTCTGGAATCGTGGTGGAGTGTTCAGGGACTGAAGGTGGAATCGCCAGAGACGTGGAGGCGCTGACCCTTTTGGACAACCAAACCACAAGAAACTTGTTCATTGATGATCTGAGTGAGGTAAAGTCATGGTGGCAGTGATGCACCACACTGTCATGCATCCTGTCTGCCAGCGTCTCCCGCTGAGGAACTACAGTATCATGAGTGGTGCTGTGGGAGATGTGCAGGGCTATGCTGAGGCCACCGAGGAAGTCTGTTCAATGCTCCTAGCTTGTATTCATGAATGTCTCAGTACGAATCGGAGCTGGGATGCCAACCGTTCTGAGATTCTCACTGTTTTTCTCAATCCCTCCAGACATACCAGGACATTATTTTGAAATTGGGCTTGCTTTCACATCTTTTCCAATTCATTATTGACTCTGCATCTACTATGATCTACTAACAGTGTCATTAAATAAACTCCGAATGAAGTATAATACTCTCACGTGCGTAGGTGACAATCGACAGGATTTTGGATTGCATATGGATTTTATTGACCACTTTAACACAAAAATCACTGTTACACACACAGTAGTGTTCTCAGTTTGTTGCTAGATGTTTCCTGGTAACGGCTTCTAACAGTGAAGATTCTTCAGCTTCCGTGCCGACTCCCTTTGAAAGGGAACTCCTTTCAAACTGAGCATTCTTGCTCCAACTGTCTTCTCTTCATAGCCTAACTGACCAAGCTCTAACCTTGTCTCTTGCTTCTAACATCCCAACATAGGCTACATAGAAAATACAGTTCTTTTATTGTTGTAGTCCAGCTGTTGCATTAGAATCTGTTGCCTATCAATGGACGTCTTTCATGGTTTGTTTCACGACTTTTGCCTGGAAACAAATGTTTCAGAGCCGTTTTCTGCGCAGCAGCTGTTTCTCTGGCTCCACAGTTCTTGCTTTGAACAAATATTCCACAATACATATGGAAACAAATCCCATCAATAGACCCCACCCGCACATTTCCCTTCAGCTGTTATGATTCCCCCTCAAGTCATCTAGCCATCATGTTCACACAAATGTTGGTAGTGATAACCATGAGATAATCTTCACTAGGTGAAAGTTCTTCTGGCTGTCTGATGTAGGCAAGAGGCTGGAGGCGAATATATAAATGGACGGGTGGAAGCATTAGTCAGTGTTATCCTACGAGATGAGGAACTTTCTTCTGTTGCATCAGGATAGCTTGTATCGTATTGGACCACTGAAACTATGGATCTTTGTACACATGTCATAGAATCCTTCTACATGGGGGTCAGACCATTGCAGGGCCTCTACCTACACAAATGCCAAAGCAAACAGGCATACATCATGCTCTGAGAAGGAATTGAAACTGCGATCCTAGAGTTGGAGTAATCAGAGTTCTGTCTTCTGGGATATAGTGCTGCGTAGTCTGTTGAACGTGTTACCCCCTGTCTTCAGGGGTCAGAAGTAAGCCAAGCAAGAAACCAGCATGAACTTGTGAGACCATCGGATCCTATACAGACAGTGTGGCTGTACCTGATCTTCTGACTCCTAATTCATATCTCCTATTGTTTTATTCTCCTTGATTGGCTCTGGTTCTGCAACCAGTTCAGTTTGCTGTCATTTGATTCTCTCATGCTTTGTATCAAAGTAATGTTTATTTTGATATTGTCTGTTTTACTGTCATAAACCCTATGAATAGCAGTAAGTTGAGATATAGCGGCCTCCATAGTCTAGGGGTAACATTCCCACCTCATGACTCAAGGTACACGGGTTCAAACCCGGCAGAGGTCGTGGAATTTTTAAGGGCGGAAAAATTCAGGGAACAAGTCCTCCGGGAGGGACTTTAAGCCGTGGGTCCCGTGTCATAGATTTACGGCACGTAAAAGATCCTCATGTCTCTAGGAGACCTCTGAGCAAAATTAGCAAAAGTTTCCCGCCCAAGTAGTTTCCAATGCCTCCTGTAGATAGGGAAGTTACTGGGTACCACTGCCAGTAGAGGGCCGACCTTGCTGGCAGAAAGGGGAGGTAGCGGGCACCAGTATCGGTAGGGTATGGCGACAGTAGAAATTAAAGGGGGACGTACAATAAACTATTAGTCGTGGTGCATGGGTAAACCCACCCCCTCTATACTGAATAACTGAAGTTGAGATATTTAATTATAAATATTTATGTATTAATTTTGGAGTTTTATTAACTTAATTAATCACTGGAGATGTTGTATGTTGTTTGACAGTGTTGGACATATTACTTTTGTAACTTCAAGGAAGAATTAAAAAAGAATATTTATTTATAAGGTAAATGGATGCTGTTTTAAAACAAGATACAAGAGAGTCAGTAAGTAGGTCACAAATGGATGTAATAGGTTTTCTGTGTGTATCATCACTAGGTAACAGCACAGTCCAGCTTCATGACAGACTAGGTACGAGACTCACATGCACATGTTCAGAGGCTGGTTTCAGTAGTAAAAATGGTGACCGTATTTGAAGACTATACTACTGAAGAGCAATAGCCTGTTGAGTGTTTCTTTTTGTGGGCAAAATTCATTGAAAAGGACATTCATAAAGAAATGTTTCCTGCTTATGGAGAAAATATTTGTTGCATAAAGTGGTTCACAACTGTGTGGCAGACGTTTTGCTGATGACAGTGAGGTTGAAACAGAGGTGCAGAAGTGGATGAGACAACAGTTGGAAGACTTCTGTGTTGCAAGATTCGACACACTGATAAAGTGATGGGACAGGGGTATCAATGTTGGTGGAAGGTATATCGAGAAATAAGTGTTCTTGTTCCAGGTTTGAATATCACATGTTCTGTATCTATGTGTGACCTATTTCCTGATCCCTCCCTGTATTTAATTGTTGAAGATGTATGTTGTTTGCCAGTTCTGAGCATATTACTTTTGTAACTTGAAGGAAGAATTGAAAATCAATAATATTTATTTATAAGGTAAGTGGAGGATATTTTAAAACAAAATAGGAAATAAAAAGGTTCCAAAGGTTCCTGACGGTGGTGACATAGTCCATCATTGTGAGTTGTTGCGAACACACTGCTGCTGAAAATGGATCTGTTTCAGTCATCAGTGCGTTAGGTGTGGGGTCCAGAGCTTTCTGATGGGCCCAACTGCACAGGAACCTTTCCTTACACCTGATTATGGAAACAGATCGAGTTTCCAAAACTTGTATGAAAAAACTAAAGCCAGTGGACAGTGTCGAAATAATAGTTTATTGAAGGAAATATAAAGTTGTAAGACACAGCTATAATTTATGAAACTAAAGCATAGTTATAAATGATGCTGTATGTGCAGTTGGAGTCATTCCTGAAGGTTCGCCTGTGTGAAATGCAAGGGCCTAGCAATCTGCTAACACTGAGTCAGCTGCAGGCTGGGCCCCCTGTTCTGCAGCTTCAGACAACTCAGAGCATCTCGGCTATGTTAAACCAAGTCCAGGCTGTCATCAGTGAGATTACAGATTCAAGATCACAGCACTTATATAATATCAAGAACTCACCCAGGTAAACTTAGTTTTAAATTTAGTTGACAGTGAGAGAGATAGGACGAATGAGGAAGACGAGGAATGTGTATAGGATATTGGTGGGAAAGCCAGAAGGAAAGAGACCACTGGGAAGACCAAGGCATAGGTGGGTGGACAATATTAAAATATCATCTTAGAGAGATAGAATGGGATGGTATCAATTGGATTGATCTAACTTGGGATAGGGACCAGTGGAGGGCTCTTTTGTACATGGTAATGAACCTTCAGGTTCCATAAAATGCCCGGAAATTGTTGAGGTGCTGCAGAATTGGCAGCTCCTTCAAAAGGGCTCAGCTCCACGAGTGAGAGAGAGAGATAGGATGGGATGGCATGGATTGAATTGATCTGGCTCAGGGTAGGGACCAGTGGAGGGCTCTTCTGAACACAGTAATGAACCTTCGGGTTCCGTAAAATGGTGGAAAGTTCTTGAGTAGCTGCACAACCTGCAGCTTCTTAAGAAGGGCTCAGCTCCATGAATGAGTGAGTGAGTGAGTGAATGATGTATCAAAAACATTTTAGGCAATTCCATTGGTTTTCCATAAGTTGCATCATGTTTGTGTGGTTGTGACAAAGTGTTCAGGTGTATCTTCACCCCACAGAAATATAGTATTAATAATTTACTTCATTAATATTGTCACATTTTTATTGACAGTTGGATTTATTCAATGTTTGTAACATGTAACTAAAAATAAACCTTTCACTGATCTACACACTGTACAAATCACTACTGTAAACAGTAAGTCTTTTCAGTCTACTTTGTCTTCACTTGCCATTGCTTGGTAGCGGCATCTAACACTGCATCTCAAGACTCTGGACTGCCTGCTTGCTAAATATCTGTTGGCCCTCACCAGCACAGTGACTCTTGGTTCTGTCCCACACAGGACTCATGACCATAAATTAATAATCACTCTCGACTACTAACTGTTCATCTTCAGTATATTGCCTCAGCATTGGCTGCATAGGAAGCATTGTTTGCATGGTTCCTCTGTTATTGTGTGTTTATTCATTGCTGCAGAAACATGTTTACCACACAGTTGCATAGCTGCTTCCTTTTTATTCCACTATTCTGGCTTTCATCCATAATATCACAGCATTTACTCTGCTGCATAATTTGGTTTTATAAAAGGCATCTGCATATGGATAATTACTACCAGAAAAGAATTACAGAAATTATGATGATCTGCAGTAATCGTTCACCAAATTTAGAACGTTAAAAATATTGCGACATGATGCCTGAAACCTTGAATAGTTCATTGCTAGGCAACGGCTAGGTAAACACATTCCCATGGAAGCGAACACATGCAAAAATAGAGGAACCCATTTCTAAGCAATGCATTGGTAAACACAAAAATAGGGGTATTGCTGGAAACAGAGTTTTCAGTTGGGGCCACACAGTGGCTATATAACGAGGATCTCAGGCAGTTAGAATTAGAATTTGAGAGAGTCTCCGAAGTTGGCAGTTGGCAGAGTTATTGAGAAGAAATGGCAAGAAAGGAATTACACTGTGCAAAGAAGAGTTTATGTGTGCTGCAGTCAGAGGGAGGCCATTATAAATCTGTTGCCATGATACCACTGGTGAAGGATGAGAAGACTTAGCATGTCCTAGTGATTTGTAGTGTGTAGATCAGCAATAGCGCTATATTGCCTGTAGTCCCGAGTTGAGCACATAAGGTGTCAATAAATCCAGTCATCAATCCAAAATCCCTTTAGTGGCCACAACCCACTATTATCTATTTTTGTAAACAGATGACAATGAAGTAAGAAAGTGGAAAAATTTCTATTCTACCTGCAGAATATGTGGAGTACTGCTGCCTCCAGGCAGTAGTCTACTCTGCTTACTCAACTATCTTCTCTTCATATGAAAACTTATGTTTTTTGAATACTGTAAATATGGTGGCAGTTTGAACACCAGGTGACTGATCTCTATTCTTTTGGCTTATTGATTATCCACCTGACACAGGTTTTATAAAACTGAAACAAGGAGTAAATATTAATAAAGTAAATTATTAATATTATATTTTCTTTCAAACTTTGTCTATCATCCTGATTTATTGAGAGACAGGGTACAGTGAAATTGATACTCTGTGGGGCCCCTAGGCAGGGTATGAGAGCACCTGTACCTGGGGGCCCAAAAGAATAGGAATTTATTCATATCCTGTCCACCTGAAGATGGAAATAGAACCCATTTTTGAAAAGTTATGATATTTATATAAAAAGTTAGAATTAGGGGCAAAGTCCAAGAGAATTGTGTTCATTGTGCCATGTATATATATTTTAAAGTCCGCTTTACCATATTTTATAAGGAAAGTCGAAAGCCTTGGAAGTTGAACCATCTCCTGGAACGGATTGTGTTTGAAGTTGAAGGTTCCACTGTATATATTTACATGTTTTGGCCACATGGGGCCATAATGAGAGGTATATATGATGATTTGTATAGATTTCTACGTCATACTGAATATTTCATGGTATGCAAAATATTTATATTTTTGAAAAATCAAGTTGAATTCTTGTTAACCTTTAAATGACGGCCCTTTAAATTCCGGTAATGGCAGCGGGACGGCTTTGATTTAAATACCCGCAATTTTAAAGCAATAAAAACTGTAATCATTTCCTAAAATTGCTGTGATTTCTACAATTTTTGTGATAAACGAACCAAATAAACACTGTTTTTTTTCTAGAAAGAATATAGAATCAGATATTGTAATTTACAGACTTTATAAAATGTGTAAGAATTTTTAGACTGATTCCAAGTATAAAATTCCCAAATTTGTCGTCTGTCTACGAGAATTCATACAGTTCTTGGAACTAAGAATGCTGTATGTAGATGTGGCAACACAGCGGATGGTTATGTAGACATGTTTAGACTTGCATGTCTCGAAGCTTATACACGTACCTTCTTTCGGTATGCAGAGATGTGAGCGTGTATCTCTCTGTTTATAAGAATGTTGATTGTTTATACACAACAAGTTCTCTGTTTTGACCCTGCTCGGTTAGTTTATCACAACTCTCAAGGCCAAGCACAGCCAAGCAGTGTCATACAGCTTCAAAGTTTCGCAGCGAGAACAGTGATATTGTCAGCTCACCATGGCGTCATCTCGTTTGGAAGATTCAGACATTTTTCAACTCATAAATGACTCCGAATCAGATTGTTTTACCGACAATTCTGAGAGTGGCGTTGAGGAAAGTGATTCAGAAATGGATTTCGACGAAGACCCATCATCTTCGTCGGC